AAGAATTCTATGTACCGTCAACGAGCTAAAATGCACGGGCTCGGATAGCGTCAGTCGGTTCATCATTTCAGTATCTTGGCTCTTATCGTCGACTGACTCCGACAGTCAGCCATTCGTGGGACCCTCCCAGGCCTTGCTGTTCGAGAAGCAATCCTTATCAAATGATCCCTGTTCAACGCCCGCTTTGCGATTCGACTTTCGACCCCGAGACACGGCTCGTTTCCTAGGATGCCATTATTTACTAACTATCCTGAGTGACAAAACTCGCCATCAACAACATCATAATCATCGTCATCGTCATCATCGGCCAGGAACCAGCAATATTCCCCTCATCTCATTCCCCATCCGCACCCTCCCTGCTGCTGCTGCTGCTGCTGCATCACCACGCAGAATGCAAGCAGAGCCCTTCCCTCGTACTTACGTCGCTCAGATGATGGTTCCCTGGTCTCGCAGCCTGCCTAAGGGATGTCAGTCCGAACCACAGACGACACCTTCCGCAGCCACGAAGCGCCACTCCAGACCCCATCTCAACGGTCGGACCATTTCCAGTTCATCACGCTATGCAATAAATCCCAATTTTCTGGAAGTTCTGTGCAACCTGAAACTTTTTACTTATGGTTCAGCCCTCGCGACGGACTTTGTGGAATGTTGGTGAGGGATAGATAGGGCAGGGGGGGAACTGCGGTGGTCCAATGATCGGAGAAAGCCCTCCACGACCTTCATTTTACCTCGCCTTCCAACGGTGTACGTGTGTTTCCCTCCCTAGAGCCAATCGTAAAACATCATCTGGGGACCGTCAGGACGTCACCGCCCGCCCAAAACGACATTTGATGGACCCCGGTCCATGGAACCAACCGAAAAGAAAGTGAGTCTCATCTACTCCCTCCGTTCCAGGGATCCCTCTTGCCGGACCCAGCCAGCGATCTGCTCACTTGACTTCGCTTTTTGCCCCGTTCGATACATCATCGAGACCGGAACAGGGGATCTGCTTTCTGGGGGAGGATCGACCCAAAAGGTTGGCCCATGGTGTGTCTGATACTATTTGAGGGAGGAAAGTCCGTTGGTAAGCGAGGTTTAGGTCGGCTGCAGTGCTGCGCAGCAGCAGCAGCAGCAGCAGCAACAGTATGCAAGTGGCACGCAGTCCGGCCGAGGGGTGGTCACTGGCCGACGAGACAGATCAGACTTTAGAACCACACTCAAGTGGGGACTATGTAAGTACACGGCAGGTAGGTTGGCATCTGCATTTGTTAAGGATTTACAATTCGAGCGCGTGTTGGATCTCTTGAATGGCCAAGTTGAGGATTGAGTCGTGCAGGGATGGTATTCGCGAAGGGTGATGAGCTTGGACTAACTATATCACCACCATTCAGGCCAATTTACCGTCAAATCTGAGACTCGGCAGATCATGAAACCCTCAAACTCGCTCATCACGACGGGGGGGAAGGTCATGCAATCTAAGTTACACCTCCTGGTCTTATCAAGGAAGCACGGCTGAGATTTTGATGGAATCTGCGGGGTAAAGAAAGGTGGGGAGGGCCCAAAGCTGATTTGATTGATTGACCGATTGATTGCTTGATTGCTTGAACTGGGGCTGGACGGCAAGAGGCAAGAGGCAAGAGGCAAGAAAGCGCATTCCCTGAGCGAGTACGGGAGAACAATAGTTACTGTCAGTCAGTGGAGAGAAGGGCGCAAACGATCTTCTCTCGACTTTGTAGGTACTTTTTTGGTGTCAATTCCTACTATTTATGGATTACTGGCCGCCGCCTCCGACCGCGCATACTACCTATCAGACCCAGCCATGATCAGTCCAAGTTTATCCCCCCCCCCCATCTCCCGCAAAAAGCGTCTCCATCCTGGCCATGGTAACGTTATTTGATGGTTAGACAAAGCTCGATCATAATGATGACAATAGATGTTGATGATTAAAGTGTGGACCTTATTGTCTCACATCATCCTCCCAGATCTGGGGGGTGCATACCATACCTATACGCCACCACTCCCCTTCCTATATGCACCAAATGAGCTGGTACAGGTACACAACGAAAGCAACCTCTTCCAGCCTGCCTCAGCATTCTAGTATGCTTTTTTGATCATCTTCAGGGCTGCATCTGGCTCGTACCCAGCGGAACTTATGATCTCATCTTCTGATGAGCAGGCTGTTGGTTTATTTGAACCATGAAGTACACATCAAAACTAAATAGTACAGTACAGCACTTCTACTCCGCCGCAAACAGGAACCCCCCGCGACAAGGAGCGCCGCCTGTCAATCCTTACTCAAGACAGGGTTCGCAGAAGAGAAGCCGACGTGTGATAAATTTAAACATAGCAGATAACAAGAAGATACCAAAGAAAAAGCATGATCTTCTCTCCATGGTTTGTGGGGGATAGATCATCCAACCTTAGATACTGCCGACGTCCAAAGTAAGAATAACTACAAAGGGCTCTGAACTATGCGGAGTTCTGTACAGTACATCCTACCGGTACACTACCCTCACATCTGCCCTCCTCCTAAAATCTTCACCGTTGTCCCCTCGCATCTTCCCCAAGACCAAGACAATACACCTAATCTCCCCAACACACAAGCGAAAAGCAACACCCCAGAACCAAACCCTTAGTAATAGCACTGTACCTTCCGGCAACCCGTACGAGCACGAGATCATCTGACTACCAAAATTCAAACCCCCCCCCCAAAAGAAACTAAAATAAATTTAACATGTAGTGAATATATACTGCCAAAACCTTAGCAGACCCCACGAACAATAAACATGAGTAGACCACTGCATTTAGAGTTTCTGGTCCTCTCTCTCTCTCTCCTTCCTCCCTCCCTAAGTACAAGTTTAGTACTACATACATACTTCCAGTATTCCATACTTCGTACTTTTTTCTATTATTTTTTTTCTGCCCGCACACCACGCACACCCTCTTCCCCCCCTTCAAACCCATTTCGACTTTTATGCTCCTCGTGCAACGTTGCCCTTCGAGTTTTGGAGTAAACACCTAACCTAGTTTGTTGTATCAAGAGTATGAGTAAAATGCACCTTAACTTAATTACCCAGCACGAATCACCAAGTGCAGATAACCAAATTGTGCCAGGACTGACTTTCTCTTTAACAATTCACACCCAGCTTGCTTGCTTGCTTGCTTCGTTGCTCAGCAACTAACCCAGTCCTAAACCCTTAACACTCGAGTACAGTAATCTACCCTAACTCAATAAAGTCTCCAGGAACAGGAATGTCAACCCACCGACCGGGACCGGCAGTTTGGCAGCTACTTGGTACATTAACTGTACAATCTGGATTTATTGTGAAACCGTTACTTACTACTTAAATGGCTGCCGACCGCCGAACGGGGCAGTACCATACACGTACCTAGGACATTTAAGTAGCTCTTCTCACCCCGTGGGAACGTCAACAGTCACAAAGGGTGGAGGGGGAACGGAGGACGGGGAGAAGCAGAAGGAGGAGGAGCAGAAGCAGGAGGAGGAGGAGGAGGGGATAAGTCAACACAAACAAAGAACCCTACATGACAAAAAGCTTTTCCGTTTTCGCTTCGATGGCGCTATCAACCACCCACCTCATTATTATCACCTGTATGTGACTATACCATCGATGTCCGGTAATAGGATATAATATACAGGAAAAGGAAAAAAAAAAAAAGGAAAAAAAGAAGAGAGGAAGGGAAAATAAAGCTCTGACGTCTACCTATCAATGTCATCAAATCTCGCCTGTGGAAATCGACATGGGAGGATCAGAGAAACAATAGCAACAAGCACGGAATAAGGAAAGGGTGGTAACTACCTGTTAATTACCTAGTACAGTACTGCACATACAAGTGCCAATTCAACCCGATTCTCAAGTACCATACTGATAGCACTAGAGATGGTATGTAACTACAGGTGGGTGCCATCAATCGCGTGCCATACATACAACGCAGGAGAATCATCCTGTTGACAACAGCGGAGAACTGGAATTCGAACCTCCGCCTACTCCATCATCCTACCTATCTAACTAACTCAGCCCTCAGCCCCCAAGCAAAGACTAGTTGATCAATTGAACTCTACTATACCAGGAGAAGAACAAGATCACTATCTCGATATGAATCTCCAACACCCCTGGTCTCCTTAACTCAATCCCTATCTCTATGAAAATTATACCATTCAGATTGCTTCCCACCACAAGCAAGAGAGGGGGGGAAAGCAGATGCAAGTTACAAACGGTCGCACAAATGATACCATCGCAGCCCCCCTCTCCCCCTTCTTGCAAGTATTGTAGTACAGTGCAACTAGCCGAGTCAAAGATACATGAACCTCGTCTATCAACACGTAGGCCTAGGCACTCGATAGACCCCGTGTTGATGCGTGCCGTGCATGCCATCTTCGACCACCGGCCCCCTCCCTCTCATACCTTTTGAAAGATGGGCTCACAAGTTGTTGATCCTCGGAGCCCCCCAAGGAGTATATGAAGCACAATAAAAAAGGACAAGATGGTTCATTCTTTCTCGCGGTGATAGGATGAATTTCTGATCTCGTTCCCCGGGTTGGTCAGGTTTTCTTTTTGAACATCCAGGGAAAGAAAAGACAAGAAACCTTCGGTTCACTTTGGGGTCAATTTACACACAGTCAAGACTACCTGTTCCTGCAATGTCTAGATTCAATAGCCAGAGAACTTGACGTGGGCTGAGGAAAAATTGGCTTTGAGCTTCTCAGCCCACACATTGGGCTATCACATGTCAGATGCGTCGTGCAAAGCTCGTGGGTGCGACCCGATCCTGAGAGATAGTAGTTACTGTACAAAAAGCCTCCACACTCATCCATGGTAATATCATAATTGGTTGATTAGTTGCATATATGTTGGCTAATTGACTGTTTGGTGAGTGATCGCTATTATGCATGATAATGGTGCAAGAAGCCGGTACTCAGGACGTACTTTTGCTGAAGTTAAAACCTATCTCCACTCTGCCCTTCCCTGCCGTTAAACCACCATACTATATACCTCGAATAACCGAAAAAGCAAGAAAACAACGAGGAATGAGCTGATTAGCGCACTAAGACATGACTCTTATTAGTCAACAACCCGGAAATGTCACTCGTTAGAACCGCCTATGATATCAGCTGCTATCTTCTCCGCCAGCATATCTAGAGCAAATCAAGTCAGCATGATTGCATACTTGTCAGGGACATTCTTCTCTCATGGAAAGCGACATACAAACGACCGATTGAGGGTGTCCTGGAGGTAAGAGCGGGAACGCACTTGCGTCCACAACCCTCAACCGACTCACACCAAATACTCTCGCCCGGCTGTCCACAACAGCCATTGGATCATTGCTGGCTCCCATCTTACATGTACAGGCAGCATGATAGATAGTCATGACGGTGCTTCGAATGACTTCAAGGAGTTGCTCGTCGGTTTGAAACTGACTCCCGGGGAAATACTCGTCGCCCTCGACAATCGGAGCAATTGCCTGAAAAGCCTCACGAACTCGTCGATATATGGCAACACAAACTTGTGCATCGGACTCTGTCGCAATCCAATTCGGACTAATTATAGGAAGATCATCTGTGTTGCTAGAGGATATTGTGATGTTTCCACGAGATGTGGGTGCGACGAGCGTGCCTAGAATGGTCGCATATTGTGCCCCGTCGGTAGGCTGGCTGAAGAAAGGGTCCGCAAAGTCACCTGTGTAAAGGGCCGCCGAGATGTACTGCGCATGAGTGCCAGTGAGTACAATTTAGAAGGCCCCCTGAGTCGGAAGACGTACCTCTGCCTCTGGCCAAGTGGGAGCAAACCACGATAGGTGCTGGCTCGTCTCGTCCGAAAAACCTCTGCGCAGGTGCTCTGGAATCTTTTCAAATGCCAGATAATCGCCGCCTGGATTAGTCAACAAACCTCGTCTCTCGTTGATGTATTCAAGGACCTGTTGGGCGAAAAAGGCAGGGTTAGTGGGTACGCTAGTTAGAGTCTGCATAGCAACTCGATATGTAGGCCCGAACATAACATGATCCCACATGTTCTGTCCAACACCTGGAAGATCGACAATCTGCTGTATGTCATGGTCGCCCAAGATATCTGTGGGCCCGATGCCCGATACCATCAGAAGCTGTGGGCTGTGGAAAGCACCTGCAGAAACTATAATCTCGCGTGTGGCTCGCAGAGTATAAATTGATGTCGTGTTGCCGGTGCGAACTACCACTCCTATTGCTTCCTTATTGGAGTTAAAGAGGACCTTCTTAGCCATTGTCTTTGAATATAATCTGGTCTTGGAAATACTGTCATCAATTTGCCCAAAGGCGGTCTCAGAGCTACACCTGGTCCTCTCTGATGGGTGAATGGTCAAACTGCAGTACTGAGCGCCTAGTAGCGTGCCGCTGTTGAAGTCCTGGGTCTCTCCAAGACCTATGTCAAGCATTGCGCGCTCCATCCAGCTGGAAAATGCGACACTGTCCACGGGGTACGATACCTGTAGCGGCCCGCCCTCAGCGAATGCAGCTGGGTTATAGCCCGCCGACGCGTTGAGAGGACGCTCCGCGTTATCGGGAGGCGTGAAGGCGGTCGTACGCTGGAAGAACGGAAGGACACGATCAAAGGTATAACTGTCGTCCTGAACGAGCTCAGCCCAGCGGTCCATTGTGCCAGTGTCGGGTCTGAGTTGCACCCACAATTAGTATAGTGACAAAGGACTAGGGTCACGCAGCAGACCGGTTGTATATCATCAGATTGAGTGCGGATCTGAGTCAAGAAATCAGCATAGCTCTGAGAGGGTCAACATTCAGAAACGTACGATCCACCAACGCATTTCCCTCTGGCATAATGTATATCACGATAATTGGCACCGGGAACACTTTTCGCAACAAATCGCCAGTCAATAGGGGTCGCCGTGTTCACATTCGCTCCAATACCAACGACAGCCATGCCAGGGATCTTCGCTAAAGGATGAGCTGTTTCGTAGAAGTCTCCAGCTTCGACAAGCGCCACGCTAAAGCCATGCTCGGCCAGGCGCGCTGCCACAGTTACTCCTGCAGTACCGCCGCCGGCGACGACATAGTCGAAGACAGCATCGACATCGGGATCGCCTTCCTCTGCACGGTGCAAATGAGCTGCAAATCCGTGAGCTCCTGTGGCTGCGATCAAGAGGTAGAGGACGAGACGTGACAGTGACAGCATGATGCGACGTTTTGAGGTTATGTGATTCCAAGGATGATGAAGGGTAGCAGCAACGACAGAAGCAGCGAGCACCTCGGGCTTATACATGATCGATTACCATAAGTACAGGCAAGAGCGACCCAGTGAGGGGGCACTCATTCCACCCCAGAAAAGCTTCTTCTCTGCCAGAAGAGAAAAGCATACAAGAGTAGTAAGGTAAGTGGGGTAATAAAGTCGGGGTATTAGGGACAAACGGTGACACAATCGAAGATAGAGAATGAGTGCGGTTAGTTTTTCTGTCGATCAGGCCTTCTGCAATGGTCTGCGATTCGTCGCTGCGAGCTTGGTGAATGTCTGCGTACATTGAGCTCACTGTACAACAGATGGAGACAAAAGTGGTGAATGGTTTGTTTGCACCGATGGCTGTCAAACGACCTCCACAGCCTCAGTAGAGACTTTAGGAGATCTTACCCTTCGATTATCATCAAGAACATCATTGATACCGCCGTCTTTTGACATCTATCCTCATCATCAATAGCACTATCAGCTCCACAACCATACTCATCATCGCGCTCCGCTTGGCTCTCTATTCTTTTCCTAGAATACCTATCTCAAACCCCCAGACTCAACACCAACACCAGCACCAACCCAACAACCAACCTCACAATGACAACCTCCAAATTCTGGCTCGAGTTCCCCGACTTCAAGCCTAACCCCCACGCCCCGATCACTGAGGAATTCAAGCGCCTGGCTGCACAGAGGGGCTGGCAGCCGGGCTCCAGGACCTGGCGCAAGCGATGGAACGCCTTCGTCAACATCGAATACGACCGAATCATCGGCAGCCGCCTGGCGTCCCTAGAGGAATGGCGCAAGTTGTGTGCGCTTTTTGACCTGCCTGGACCATTTCCTTCCATCACGAAGTGCAAAAAGGTATGGACGTTCTTCCTGTCCGCTGCAAGACTAGAATAAGGAGAGGAGGTAGAAAGCTCTTTCGCTTTGAGTACAAGAGAGGCTGACAACGGTCGTTCAACCTCCATAGGCATTGTCGACAGTGCATGTCAATCTGGTGGACCTGATCGAATGTCGACAGTTGGACACGAAACCGAAGATCTTCGCCAGCGTCGCGCAGCTTGCGAAATATACCAGGGACACGGGGAAGTTCTTCCACAGGACCCTGGCGAAGCAGGACAAGTTGCTCAAAGTCTTCTTGAGGAAATTGGCCTAGTTGCCCGCGGAGAAGTGGTGTTTCCCAACTGCGCGTTGAGTCCTTCTATCCACGCGCTCGAGATCCCCGTGGGTCCTTCCTGTCTGTACGAATGGCTTTTCGTGTGCGGCTTCGGTTGGGACATGTTGGATAGCAGTAGACAAGGTTGCGAAGCGGTATGTGCGGTGAATCAAGAAAGCCTGTAAATAAGATAGACATATGCTCAGCAGAAAGGTTTATCAGTCAAAAGCATCCGTTCTCTCAGCAAATTTCGACTATTGCTGAGGTTGAGATAAAGACCAGCCTGTTTTCATGCATTAATAATTATGGACAATGTCCAACTAAGATCAAGCGATTTGTAGGAGAAATTCAGAACGTATATTACATAGACTCGATGACCCGATCACAGCGCCTTCTTCTGCCCCTCAAGTCGCTCCCTCTCGACAACATATCCGACTGCGCGAGCAAGACCCTCGTCAACCGGAACAATAGCTCTGTATCCCAGGCGGTACTTGGCCTTGTCACACGAATAGTAGCGTGTCATGCACGAATAGCGCACCATACGTCTGGTCAGTCGGGGAGTCTTACCAAAGAGTCCGAGGACCGTCTCTGCAATCCCGCCGATGGGGCCGAGGGCACTCTCTGGGAGCTCCCACACCTGATGGGGCTCTACCACCTTGCCAGTGAGAGCCCAGGCAGCATGGGTCATATCCCAGAAATAGACCGGCGAGTCGTTGGTGATATTGAACGCTTCTCCATCCACCCGCTCATGATCCAGGGGGCCACCCTGTCCAGCCTCGTAGCGCGCATAAGTCGCAAGCAAGCGGTACGCAGCGAGGGTGTGCGAGTAGGCGACATTGCCCACGTATGTGAAGTCGAACAGGTTGTTGTTGTCTCCCAACTGCATTCGGAGAACGGTCGGCGAAGCCTTGGCAGCGTGTTCCAGGATCTTGAATGTGAATGTCGTGTCCTTCTCACCGTAGATGCCAGCGGGGCGAACAGCACAGGTGACCATTCCAGAGGGCGAGGCGCGGTTGTACTTCAAGGCGATTTCTTCGGCGTCGGCCTACCCGCAACACATGATCTGATTAGCAATTTATTTATGAAACGGTTTGGAGGGGCAATGCCCAGGGGCTTTCGAACGCACCTTGGTTTCTGAATAGTACTCCAGCTGCAATGGTCCCCTGATAAGTGGCCATTCTTCCGTGACATTGATCAGGTCACTCTGCGTATCATGGACCACGGAACTCGAACTCGTGTAAACAAACGCCTTGCACTTTCCGCCCCAGTCGCCACGCTCACCACCCGCAACCTCCAGCAATGTCTTGGTCCCATCGACATTGACCTTGCGCAGTAACGGCTTGTTCCCTTCCAACACGTTCGCGGTAGCGGTGTGAATGACGACGTCCGGCTTGACGGCGCGGAAAACGGACAGCATGGACTCGACAGAGGTGATATCTCCATCGTAGTAGTCAGCTCCAGGAAGACGATTGTTCGTTGTCCGGAGGTCAACAACTGAGACTTTTGCTATGCATCGAGGGTATCGATCACCCAGCTTGGGGTAGTCGAATCTAGTATCACCTTGCGGCTTGGGAAGTGCGACACTGGGATCGGTTTCCGAGGGGAAATTGAGTAACTGGTCCACAATGTGCCACCCGAGGAAGCCGCACCCTCCAACCACCAGGACATTGCCCAATTCGAGAGTAGACCGCTTAGTAGACATGATGGAGGAATGCCGAAAAACAGCCGTACGGGGTAAATGGTGTGGGGGGAGAGGAAAGGAGGGCGAAGGAGACGGAGCGTCGAGTTAGTTGGTTGGGCGGCGTGGACCAGACGGAATACGGATTGGAGGTCCGCCTCCAGAACCTGAATCTCCGGACTGGATCAAAGCTCGGGCCTCCCCGCGAGAAATGCCACACATGAATCGCCATGACTATGAGGCTAACATGATAACGAGACTACCTATCTTTGCATTCTTCTAGTGTTCATTCTGGCATGTAACTGTAGATAAGGCTACTAATGCAAGTAACGGAACGTAAGCTCTTCAAAGAAACAACATTGCAAAAGCATTCTTTTCCCAGCCGCCAGCCACTTTTCAAAATCATGCGCCACTCACAGTAAACACCCATCTCTCCAACATGGCAATGCAATCGCCCGTCCATTCATATCCCTGTGGAATCATTCTCAGAAGCGCGCAAATCTTAAAGTACAAGGGAGAGTTGATGGCACTGAATGTCATTCAGAAAACTATGTCGAAGCCGTGAAAGCCTTTTTCGTCGGAATAGAGTAGAACCTAACCAGCAACCTGGGTCTGTCACGGCCTCGCAGCGCCGACGAAGCTAGGAACATTCAAGCATTACCGCGAGCTTACTCCAATGCTCTCTCAAGTGAGCGTCTCAACTCGCGGTTGTATCTTCTTCGATCCTCGGGCGTTCCCCAGAATAATCGAGAGGCTTCAGGGTTCACTGTTGTTCGTGGATCATAAGGCGGGTTTTCTTCCTCCAGAGCTGCCACGATACCGTCGATATGATATCGCATTTCCTCCGACCGCTGAGGGAAATAACACAAGACACCATCTGGGCTTACACGAACATGGAAGAAGGAAGTTCTCATGGAAACTCGCGGCTGCACTTCTGGAAACTTCGGACTGAGGCGTATATCGATCTCAAATATACCGCCATCCAGATGCGTCATGGGCTTGCCAAAGTAGATGAGCTTCCACACGAACGGATTGTCGTCAACCAAATTCAGGTCGATTGTGAAATTATTCTGGCTTTTCATGCTCTCCATAATCTGTTCGAATTGGCGCTGTAGGTTTACTGCAATGCCCCACTCCTGCTCTTTGGCCACCAGCCCTTCGGCAGACCAGTTGGAGCTTTCCTCATTAAGTGCAGTCTTTATGACCACCAGCCGCTGCTTCAGCTCAGCATAATCGAAGTGGCCGTCCATCGAATTGTTGGCCTGTTCGAAGGGCATCCTTGTGAATTTCTGTTTACGTGGATTTTCCAGCATGGCAGCATCTATTGACTGCATGTAGGCGCTAAAATACCACAAGAAACGTCTCTTGCGAAAATCGACGAAAGGAACGGAAGAGGGCTTGTCTTCCTCCAACAGTTCCCGTTCCTCGTTATCACTGAGTGAAGTACTCGCGTCGCTTGAAGGGGTGATACTCAGAGACGCCTCCAGTGGCTCGATCACCGCAAGTCGAAGTGTCTCGTGGCGGATCTTTATGTAAATTAGAGCTTGGCAGCTACCAGCAAAGTGCGGAGAAGACAGAATTCACCTTTGCAACATAATGTTTCGAGTTTCGTTTATCATGTTCCGACCTTGCAACCTCAAACCCAGGTTCGTTCTCGTAAGGATTGGAGGACATCAGGCTTTGTATCGATATCAGGATCGACTCGAGGCCCTGTGCAGACGACCATTGCTCTTCGCGTGATCCGCGCCATGTTCTGCGATTGACGTTATCAGCCAGGTCTAACGCCGATGGATTGTCAGGCTTCTTACCCAAGGATCGATCTGAGTCAACTTATCAGTTATCAGAACCCTCATGCACTCGCTAGGGGAAACATACAAGCAAACCTTGCCCGTAGCATAGATGTTGGGGTTGAACCGGCACCGGCCACAGTTTGTCGTTAAGGCTCGAACGTTTGGCGGGTGGGTAGGGTAGTCTGCGAATTGTCAGGAGTGAAAATAGTCTTAGTTGGGTAGGCTTGCTGACCTCTCCCAAACTTGATTGAGAACTAGACAGTTGAGACCCGATTAGCACTGGAATAAAAAGAAAGAAGGCAGGTAACGAAGCCTGACCTCGAAGAATCCAAACTGATATGGCGTATCAGGAGGCCCGAGAATGAGAGCATGTACATTTCGGATATCTGAATCATCGTAGTGTACAGCCAGAGCTATGAGAAGACCACAAAGCCCTACTCGTCAGCAAATTTGAACCTTCTTCCAGTGCTCAGGTCCACTGAGGCGTATATGCGCTCATGGAGAGATGGAATACTCACATAGGTCTGCCCCTTGCTGGACCTGTTTGATCTCCTATAATCTCTCAAAGACATTTCATCAGTCAAGTGAGCTCATGACAAACAAAGGAACAAGTATACCCTTGTAAGTCGTAGGATCGCCTGGTTCGACATCCTGACGGGGAGGCAAAGCACGTATAAAGTAGTCGATGAGCTTGTTGGTCGACTAGAACGTTTGTTTGAAGCTATCGAAAGGAGCGTGAGATAGATTTTGATTCAAGTTCGAGCGCGCGCGGGGGGAAAGGTCGATGAGATCAGGATGAGGGGATCTTAGAAACTGTCTGAAAGAAACTGAAATCAAGTGTAGAGAATGTTTCTATCCGAGTCTAGGAAAATGCCTTTCCGAAGTGGGCAAGAGGTTGAAGTGGAAGGTCCCAAAAGGCATTTGCATAGTTGGTGAATAACAGTTTGTTATAGTTAGTGGATAGGTGAGAGTGCAGCTTGTTCTGCCGGATGGGTGGTGGGTGAGTGGGCGAGTTGTAGGCACCGTCGGCGACGGGTGCCTGCCCCGAAGAACAAAGGCAGTGTCTGAACCAACCACTCCTTTATATTGAAATAGTAATTCGACTACAGTACTAGGTACCTTATGATGAAGAAGCTGCAACTGTTACCAGAATCATGCTCATTACACGAGATTCGCATTTGTTTATCTCAACTAATGAAGCCCAGCCGTAGAGCGCAAACACATTGGCCTAGGACTGTTCCCAAGTATATTTACCTCACCGCCCACAAGCGACTATGTGCTACCTTATGTCTTCACCTCCCTTGTCATGTTAGACGAGAGCAGAGGCAATAGATAGCTTATATGTATGATATTGAAGGAAGAAATTAGGAGGCTGTGAGGTGCTGTGTTCTATATGGATCTGTGAGATAATGTCACCTATAGTATAACTAAATATTTTTCTAATGTGAACGCTGTTATGACTTCCCACGACCGCCCCGGCTTTATTGTATAGGAAGATTTCTTAACCAATAGGTCTCGCCTCGTTGTGACAGCATGGTGTCTTCCGCAAGCACTTCCTGAGGTATAGTATCAGAAGTACATGAGCTTACGGGATGTTTTGTCTTCTGTCAAGATGTTCTAGGCTAAGAAACTGCCAACTCGTGCTTTCTGCCTACCACCTGCGATATAGCCGTTCTTGCTTTCTGCGAAGCAAAGGCCGAATCGCGACTCTGAGATCTGAGCCCTATAGGCCTGGAGGAGAGACAGCTGCTAGTAGAAGAGACGTTGTGCCTGTGGGCCGCGAAGTAAGATACGGAGAAGGGGGTCGAAGACATGGAGCGCATAGCGCAATCGGAATGAAGCGATAAGATACTTGCGGGCGGTCGGGAGGCTAGACGGGAATTGAACCAGATTCTAAATCGGGGGGTTCCACAAGGCGAAGCTCGTGAGTATGATTTGCAAAGTTCCTAGACAAGTGTTCGATCGGCCGGGGTGAAAAGCATATCACATAGGGGTTAATTGTCAGGGCAATCATCGTTTACTCCGAGCGAAATCCAAAGATAGGATCCAAGGGGACCACTTATTCTATATTGAGTACTCCGTAGATATCCAGTCTCCACTTTGGCCAGAATTTACAGGGTCTGTTTCTGCCTGAACAATTGTTGCGCTGGCTATTTTTGGCTGACCAGGGGCTTTTTTTAGCCAACAAGACTAAACCATCTGATGGGGTTGTGCCGTTTGTCTGGTGACAACTAAGCTTAAATGATTCTTTAAATTCATCCATCCATGGATTTTGTTGACGTTAAATCCTCTCCAATCCTAGCTGGTAGTCTTCTGCAACTGCCTCAGCCTCAGCCTCTTTCAACCCTTCAGACTGTTGTTGTTGTTTTTTGGGTCCAGTTGCCGGGTAGAGTAATGGATACACAACGCGGGATAGGGGATTCCCACCCGTCCATCGCAGGCGGTGAAAGAGGCGGTAACCCTTCTCACGTGACCGTTTCTAGTGGGCAGAGAGTGCCCAGCAATAATATGGGAGGAGGGCATAGGGGGGGAAGAAGAAAGAGAGGGGAGGAGAGCGACCAAGTGCCCAGCAGCAACAACACCCACCCTCCTCCAAACACGCGATCCCCTCTCCTCGCTCCTATTCCCTTCCACTTAGGTCCCAGAGACCGGGACTCGACTTCCTTTCTCTTTCTTTTGCTATCCAATTCTCTCTCGTCTCTTCCTGGGCTCTGGTGGTCCTCTACAAATACGCCTTGCTGAAAGGGATTAGGAATGGTTGTGATTCCAGACAGCGCACTCCGCCGCTTGTTGGTCTCACTCTGAGCTCCAACCCTTTCCCCATTCCGCTTCCCTCGACGACAGCTGGTTGCGCATCTTGAATCCTCTTTCCCTCGATAATTTCGCATAATCTCCTGTTTTTCCGAGCGCTTTTCTATTCTCGACCAGCTCTAATCTTGCGCCCTGTTTCCCTTGTTTTCTAGTTTCCCCGCAAGTCTCATCTACATGGCGTGAGGAGTGTTGCTACGGAAAAGGTCGCTAACTCCCTTAACGAACCCCGCGCACCAAACTTGGGACGATTACCTCAGAGACTAACGTTGCATACAGTCAAGGTCAACAGTATTTACCTGATAAGCAATCTCGACAATCAGTGCCTCTGCAGCAGTCACATAATACGTCTATTATCTCGTTGTCCCTTCCCCCTCTCCTGTGACCCAGCTTCTCCTACTCCAACCATAGCGGCCGTGCCGTCTACCTCGGGATAGTCCACAACATTCGACTGCAGATCCTGATTTGCCCAATCAAGCCACACCTCAAAGGCATAGTTCTCGACGAACATGCCTCCCGGCGACGTTCCTTTGCCGGACAGCCTCGTGCCGGGCAACGGGGCTGTCCGCCCCAAACTCAACACCAGTGGATATGGCGGTGGTAGTTTTCAGTCGCAAACCCCAACCTCTCCTGCAGACAGTAACATTGCTTTCGACTCGCCTCGCACAAGAACAGGAGGATGGAACGGGTCCACCAATAGCCCGGTCGATGGAGCACAGAACCCAGACGGTCGAATGAGCCGGCGCTTGGAGTCTGGTCACCCTGGCTCGAGAGATCCGTCAACACCAAGAGATCGTAATGGCTACTGGGACAGATCTGCACCACGAGAAAGATCCCGCCCCAATGGCCGACCACCCACGAAGTCTCCTGGCAGCTCGTCGCGGATTTGCAAAAAATGCGGCGAACCGCTCACGGGCCAATTCGTACGAGCTCTGCTTGCAACATATCATCTAGAATGTTTCAAGTGCGAGGTGAGTGCACCATGTCTAAGGAATGGCTGTCGTCTATCTGTTGACACCGTTGGGTTTAGGACTGTGGTCAAATAGTGGCGTCCAAGTTCTTTCCTGTAGATGCTGAAGATGGAAACGGGCAATACCCTCTTTGTGAGACAGACTATTTTCGACGTCTCGATCTTCTCTGTCATGAATGCGGTGGTGCGTTGCGTGGTTCATATATTACAGCATTGGAACGCAAGTATCACATCGAGCACTTCACCTGCTCTGTCTGTCCCACTGTTTTTGGCGCGCAAGATTCATACTATGAGCACGAGGGTAAAGTCTACTGTCATTTTCACTATTCTACTCAATTTGCCCAACGCTGTCATGGTTGTCACACGGCAATCCTGAAACAATTCGTGGAGATCTTTCGCAACGGTCAGAATCAGCACTGGCACCCTGAGTGTTACATGATCCACAAATTCTGGAATGTCCGACTGGCTCCGACCGGCCAGGTCCTGGAGCCGCCTGAGATGGACTTAGACGCCACTGACGAGGAACGCAACAGAGTACGCGACGAGGAAGACGTGATGGAGGAAAAGGTCTACAGAATTTGGAGCATATTGTCCAGTTTTGAGGAGTCATCTGCTGCGTGCATTTCGGATATGCTGCTCCATGTCAGCAATGGCACCTATGTTGATGGTGTTTTTGTTGCAAAAAAGTTCATTGGGCATGTAGACGTCCTCTTCTCTGCCATTGACCAGCTTGCGACAAACATCAAGACACAAGGCATGAAAGGTAAGCGGCTGCGATACACTCGTCTCGCCCTGTTAACAGAAAGACGATCGCTGATCACCAGACCTAGACCTGGCTTATGGACGTGAAGCAAAACTTCTGTGTAAGAAGATTGTTGCCTTCTTTGCATTACTCTCCAAGACTCAGGAAGCTGGCGTGCGTAAACTGGGCGTTACTCAAGAACTCCTTTCACTGGTCACTGGACTCGCTCATTACCTCAAACTTCTCATTCGTATCGGTCTCCAAGGAGCCCTCAAACTTGAAAGAGAAAAGCAAACACCTGAAGGCCTTCACCACTTCCTAGACCACTTGGGAGACTTGGAAGCACTCCGGCCTCTCGACGAAGAAGAGACGACTGCAGATTTAATGGTCGGGGTCGATGTTCTCGCAGACCAGCTATCTGATTGTTGTGCGTCGTGCAAGGAACCCATTGACGATGAATGCGTCATGCTTGGCGATAGCAGGTGGCATATCAAGCCGCCACACTTCTCGTGTGCATCTTGTCAGAAGGATCTAACGAGCACCATCCAGGATTCGCTGTACAATCGGAAAGAAAAGCGGGCATACTGCAACGACTGTGTTACCAAGAATGGTCTTAACCAGGAAACACAGGGAGGTTTCATCCATGTGACCAAACTTCAGCAGTTTATCTTTCTTTTGAGAGTTGCTCTTGCGCGACTCCTCGCCGTTCTACGAGCTGGAGGAACATTCTCTGGTAGGTTATGACGGCCAGTCACTTCGACACCTCACAGAGATACAGAGACACTTACCGTTCGATAGACGATCCCAATGCAGGCCCACAAAGCGGTAGCGACAGTGGTCGAATCCCACCTGGGGGTGAAATGCGCAGGTCAGGCACAAGGGCCAAGTCATATGCAAACGCCGTCAAAGACAGTCCCGAGGGCTCGTCACTCGAACAGACTGTGGGCGAAATGCGACGCTTGCGATCTATCCGGAACGAGCGCACCCTGTCAACAACTTACAGAAAGGCTCGAGCTTCTCGAATAATTGATGGGCCAGAGGGTCGCAGCGTGCGGCCGGGATCATCAGGTGGCGAGGCCTCGGATCCACGGGGCCATGGATTTCAGATTGTAGAGGAAAAAGATGCCAACGGAGAGACGGTCACTGAGCTGACATTTGGCAATCAGGACGCATTGACTTTGGATGATATTCCTAGAATCGTTGCGGCCGAACAAGCCAAGGAACAACGGCCCAATGCTTATAAGCATGCCGGCACCAAGCTTGTTGGCACCACCGAGCCCCTTCCAAAGTACAACTACGGTCATCAGCGTGGCGTTTCGGGTGCAGGTTTAGAGCAGCATCTGATCGAGCAGTCAGGGCGGACTAAGAAGTACTTTTCGGAACTTTCTGCTCTGGAGTACTTCATTGTCCGACATGTTGCGGTCTTGTCCATGGAGCCATTGTTAGATGGGAATTTCACTTTGGAAGAACTTCTCTCGTTGATTGAGTCGCGCAAACCCACGATCTGGAATATCTTTGGTCGAGCTTTCAACAAGGAAGCGAAGAAAGGTGGGAAGAAGAAGGGTGTCTTCGGCGTCAGCCTCGACTTCCTTGTTGAGAAAGAAGGTACAGAGTCTAGTCACGGTGTTGGCCCAGGAGCGCTTCGCATTCCTGCCCTCGTTGATGATGCTGTCTCTGCGATGCGCCAAATGGACATGTCTGTCGAGGGTGTTTTCCGAAAGAATGGCAACATTAGGCGCCTGAAGGAACTCACCGAGATGATCGATAACAGGTATGAACAGGTAGATCTCACCAAGGAGAACCCTGTCCAGATTGCGGCCCTCCTCAAGAAGTTCCTTCGTGAGATGCCAGATCCACTCATGACATTCAAGCTGCACCGCTTATTTGTGGTATCTCAAAGTAAGTTTGATGGCCCTTCGCAGCAATGTCCGGCTTGTTAACGTCGCCACAGAGATCTCTGATCCTGAGAAACAAAAGCGCCTCTTGCATCTCACCTGCTGCTTGCTTCCCAAAGCTCATCGTGATACCATGGAAGTCTTGTTTGCCTTCCTGAACTGGACTTCATCCTTCTCACATGTCGATGAGGAGTCCGGTAGCAAGATGGACATTCATAATTTGGCAACTGTGATAACACCGAACATACTTTATCCCAACACCAAGGCCAGTACCGTGGACGAGAGCTTCCTGGCAATTGAGGCTGTCAACTCTCTGATCACATACAATGATACTATGTGCGAGGTATGCTGTCCAGCTTCTCCTTCGTTTACTGCTGCCTTCTAACAATTTTTCTAGATTCCCGAAGACTTGCAATCAGTCCTGAACGACCCTACCTTCTTCAAAGAGAATAGCGAGGTGACTACCAAAGATATCCTCAAGCGCTATGGGGACATTGCACGAGGCAGTATGTCTCAAAAGCCCCTCAATGGTGGCGAGACTGTCACAATTACCAATTCTACTCGCGGAGCGAACATTCCTACGTCTGCACGCATTGAAACGGACGCCTCCCAAGATGCGGCTTGGCAGGCACAGAGCTCAGTTCGCCACGTCCAAAGCCCTGGGGGACTTGGCCACTCTACAAGCACTGGTCAGACCGGTATGGACCTTGGTCCTGCATCGGCTAAAGATTACCGTGAGCGAAGCACGAGTAATAGCAGCCAGCAAAACACCGTCCAACCTGATGGGCAAGGCCAGCCGATGCCTTACCGACCCCGTCCAGGCGCGGGACCTATGGGTGTTGCGGGCTAAAATAACAGCTAGCCTTTGTTTTCGGCGATGGCACCACACTGTCACTTTTCTGCATAGTCTCGAAGATATTTTCCTGATACAATAATCGCCAATATCTCGTTTGAGCTCCAAAGACTGCTCTTGGCGTATGACTGGGCCGTTCAGCGTTTATTCGATATAACATGGTTGGATGGAGTTTCTTTCACCTTTTGAATTGAGATGATTATCGATGTTTGCCAAAACAGTCGGCTCGAAGATTCTCTTGGCGGATGGTTGTTCTTTTCTTCTTACCTTGTCTTTTGTGCTCTGGCAACTTGAAGCGCATTTGCATTGGCCGTGGGTCCCAGTACGACTCACTGCACCCTTAATTTGCTTTCTACCTCGATGGGCTAATTACGGAGGTCCGTCTGTCCGTCGTGACCTTGTTAGGTTCATATTCTGGGGGACTTTGGGGTCACTCTTGTCCCATCTTTTCCATCTTACCCACCTTTTTCTTTTCTCGCCCGTTGTTATCTCAAAGCCTTGCCTTGCAGCCCTTTGCGTTTTCACAGCTCGAGACCCAAAGCATACAATGCCAGGGGCATTTCCTTTCTTTCCCTTCCCTCGATTTCTTTTTCTTTTCTTTCTGATTTCTTGAACACCATGGTGTTTCGCAATCTTGTGCCTTACTAACTCCCATTCCACTGTCGTGTGAGATTATCCTGAGTGGGGCGCACTAGCGAGGAGAGGGCAGCTTTCTTCTTCTTTACTTTATTTCATTTTCTCAGGCAGTTCCAGATTAACTGCGAAGATACCTGTGCCGAGCCATACGATATTTCCTTTTCTCTTCTTCTCTTCTACCTTTTTTCACTTTCTTCATCCCTTCTCTTCTATATCCATTCTGTTCCACTTTCTTCCACTCCAAAACCATACGACCTAACCCCCAGCTGATATCCCGACTTGTTTGTCTCTTTTTTTCTTCTCTCCAGCATCCCATGTGATGTCTTTCTATTCTCTCGTCCCCTCTTATTTCCCTTTTTCTTTTCTCATTCAGCCCCCGCCTGCCCTCATAAAAAAAGAGGTGTAATTTACTAGCGACTATGAATGAAAGACATTATCATAGTAGCTGCCACTTTGATAGGCTTGACAGTGTGAAATTATGAAATTTAGTGTTCCATGCTGAGAGCGGTTTTAATGCTGTCAAAGAGACATTGAGGCTAATTAACAGGCAAATGCATGCTGGATCCAAGTAAACACAGTCGTAATTCAACAAAGACAAACATGACACCTGGTAATGTCTCTCGATAATTGATCCGATGCATTGGGCAAAACCAAAACAACGATAGAAGCTGTAATTGACATGAAAACTCCAAATAATTTACCCCAAGCCCCCTATACGCCTTCGATACCTAAAATTAACTCCTGAATCGCACGCCCCCCGGTATCAAGCACAACACCACGCGGAACTCCAATCATATACAAAGCAACAATGGAAGGTATCAAAATGACTTAGGTCGCAAGTAAGAACCAAAGGCCGGAAGTCAGGTTCCTATCAGGCTCGCTTGCGCAGAACCCTCCGGCCGGCTGCGGGGGCGGCTTCACCGCCGGCCGGGGTGGTGGCTCGCTTGGTCGTTGTTCCTGATGCGGCGTTGCGTTTAGCGGCGACGGCCGCGGAGGCTTGGGTGCGGCCGCCCGTATTCTTCCGGGTAGCGGAGGAGGCAGTCGCGGACGCAGTGGCACCACCGGCGGTCTTCTTGCTGCCCGTGAGGGTCCGGGTTGGCTTGGCCGCCACGGTGGTGCCGGAGGAGGCGGACGAGGAGACACTGTCCCGGCGGTCGACCTGGCGCGTCGCGGGCCGCGGCAAGGGCGAGCGCAGGGTCTTGCTTGTCGTGGTTGCGGCGCGGCTTGCCGGGCGTCTGGTGGCTGCTTGGGACGAGGGCCTGACGACGGATGTCGAGGGCGCGTTGGTGCCGCGAACGGACCGCAGGCCCGGCATGCTGGCGGAGGTGCCCTTGAGCGGGCTGGAGGGCTTGAGGGGGGACATGGGTCGGGAGAGGTAGGACGATGTGGGGTGGGGGTGGTGGTTGGGTTTCTCAGGCGAGGCGACGCGTAGAGGGGATTGAGGGTACGTCCGCGAGTTCGAGGTCTTGGGCGACAGGATCCGGTAGTCGTTGGCGCCCCTCATCTCCTGCGACACCACCCGCGAGGTTCCCGCTGCTGCTCCGGGTTTGGCCCGGCGTTTGGGGTTCTTGAGCACGTCGAGCGACTCTCCGCCGGGGGCGGGCGCGTTCTCTTTATCGGAATAGATGCCCTCGTGGCTGGTTTTGGGGGGGGGAAAGGGTCAGTGAATTGAACCACCACGATATCGAGCCCCCCTTTCCCTTGGGGACGACTCGGAGAGAGTATATCATCTTACGCCGTACCTTTGTTTGCGTACCCTGCGGGAGCCGGGACTGGCAGTCGTCGCTTTGCGCAACCTGGGGCTAGCGGAAATGGTTGCGAAATTCCGGGATGCTTTGGCTGGGCTGAGCAGCTTGCGTGGGGATGTGTTCTCTTGGTGTGCTCTCATGTGTTTCTCGAGTAGTTCGCCCATGTTGGCTCTGCGGAGTGCGATGGGAATTCGGTTGATGCGTCGCTCGATCCGGGCGCGTAGGTCGTTGGCTTGGAGAGCATACTGAGCACGGAGTTTGCGGGCGCGTTCGGTGACTGCGACAGCGGTTAGTACCGGAATTGAGGGATGAAGATTGTGCTGTCCTTGGAAGCGTACTTTCGAGCTGGAGGTTATCAATGAGAGCCTGTTTCTGGTTGCGTGTAATCCGAAGCTTCTTCTTAGGTGGGCTGTTGGTGGGTGTGATGGCTTCCTCGTTGTGGGACGCGTCCTCGGGGGACTTGCGTTTGGAGGCAAGGGACGCCATTGGGATTGAAGTAGGTTGCTAGCGATCGCTGGACTGTAGACGTGCAGGACATTCAATGCAAATTTCAAAGGCTGGAACGGAGCCAGAAGGATGATTGTGTCGAGAAGTGCGTCTGAATTGAAGGGAGGGAGGAAAGCGGAAGAGTTGGCAGGCGGGAGAGAGTGTGTAAGAGAGAGGATAAACAACCTTGATTGAAGTGCTGACTTAATTCGTGGTTAGCTCCGACCGGGAGAGGGTGTGACATCTTGCACTGCAGTCCCCGTCCCGTAAGTTACCTCTCTCTCCAGCACCGCAGCTCTCACTCTCCTCCATCAATCTTCATCTTCATCCACCCCTCCAATCATTTCCTCTCCATCTACTCACAACGTCTTCCTATTTTCGGCATCTACTGCGCCTAAAGCTATCACCTACTGTTACTTATATCAATCACTGCCGTCGTTCCTAGTAACGCCAAACCCTCGCCAAGATGGAAGCTACCATGATCATGTCCGTTCCTCTCTTCCACCCCTCCCTCATCTCAAGCTTCGTTCACCCTGGCTAACAACCCATGCAGTGTGGACAACAGCGAAAGCAGCCGTAACGGTGATTACACGTAAGTACCGCGAAGTCTCAGCAATGGCCATCGAACCTTCTTCTCTCGTTCCGACCGCTGACAGCTGAGCTGCCAGATCGACCCGATGGCAAGCACAGATCGACGCTGTCAGCGTCATTCACACGACCAAGATGCGCGTACACCCCCAATCCGCCGTCGGGCTTATGAGCATGGGAGGAAAGGGTCCCGAAGTCCTGTCGACATTCACCACCGATTTCGGTGGTATATTGGCTGGTCTGCACCGCACGAAGATCGGTGGCACTGCCCACCTTGGCTCCAGCATACAAGTGGCCGGTGTATGTCTTACAATAACAACAACTTCCCACAATCACGATGAGTATTCAAAGCAGCTAACCGGACGGCAAACTACAGCTCGCCCTCAAGCACCGCTCCGAGAAATCCCAGAGACAGCGCATCATCGTATTCTCCTGCTCCCCCATTGAAGAAGACGAGAAGACGCTCGTGAAGCTCGCCAAGAAGATGAAGAAGAACAACGTGTCCATCGACGTGATCGCCTTCGGAGACCTCGAATCCGACCAGACCAAGAAGCTCGAGGCGTTCGTCGAGAACGTCAAGGGTGGCGACGGCTCCCACCTGGCCATCATCCCGCCCGGCGACAAACTGCTGAGTGAAGAGCTCCAGGCCACGCCGATCCTGGGTGGTGACGGCAGCGGCGCCGGTGGTGGCGCCGGTCCGGACGGCGGGGACGGGGGCTTCAACTTCGAGGATGCGGCGGAGAACGATCCCGAGCTGGCCTTTGCCCTGCGTCTGTCCCTCGAGGAGGAGAAGAACCGACAAGAAAAGGAGAAGCGGGATCGGGAGGAACAGGAGCGCAAAGTCAACTTGGAGGGTATTCCCGAGGAGGGTGGTGAGGGTAGCGGAAGCAAAGACAAGAAGGATGACGGTGACAAGATGGACACCGCTTAATGTGTGAGGAAATTCTGAAATGATCCTCGTGGATGACCTCCTTTTTTTTCTTCTTCAATCTCTGATGCATACCCGGCGTTCCTTCTGATGTGTACTTGCGTTAAAGTTTTCTCTGGTTTTTCTGCTTGGTTGTAATTGTAGAACGTGGGTTCTAGAGTCGACCCCCCCGCCCACACGACAATCCTTTTGAGAAAGGCTTGCGGTATCTATATGGGAATTCTATAACATCATAATCGTAGTCCTATGCCGGAGAGAACCGCGACGCATATATAAAGAAAGAAAGAAAAAAAAACGGAATTGATGGACGAACGCCTCCCACGAAAGAAGAAAAGTAAAAGGAACACGATACACCAGTGCAATCATTAAAAGTTTCCGTCGGCGAAAATCGACTTTGAATCACGCCCAACAGGAGGCCAATCATTTTTCCTCTTCCCTTGTTATGACAACAAAGGCAAGAATGATTTCTATTGAATCAGAAATCCTCACGTCCGCCCGCGCAACCACCCATTCAGATTCCGATCAAACGCCTCGCACCGCACCGGCATCTCCAACTGGTAGAACGGGTTCTTCATGACGAAGTCGGCGTAGAACTCGTAGATCTTCTTCATCACCACCTCGATGTTGGCCATGTGCGGGTCCGTGAAGAGGAGGAACTTGGTGCCCGTCAGCGTCTGGAAGCACGTCAGCCGGAACTTGTCCGTCTCGAGGGACTCTAGCCCCGTCGCGGGCACGCCGGGGATCGGGTACGTGTATGAGGTTGCGGAGACGGATGGTGTTGTCGCTGCCGCTGTTGTCGTCGTCGTCATCGGGGTGGAGGTGCCCGAGGGGGAGGCGAGGTTGGAGGACGCGCTGGTCGGGGTGGAGGATATTGCGGTTGGAGCGAGGAGGGGGAGTTTCGGGGTGATGGTGCGGGTGATGGCGTGGACGCTGTTAGAGGTTATTTAGTTTCGTTTCTTCTAGTCCTAATGTACAAAGCATTCGTCTCTCGGGAAGAGGCGTTTGGCACCAAGGTCCATCCATACCCGTGAAAGGTTCCGGCGAGAACGAGGTAGTCGTTTGTCGAGAGCTTGCGGAGGCCCGGTTGGAATTCGCGCTGGTAGATTAGACCTCCGGCTTTGTTGATGATGATTAGGGAGAAGACGGTCCTGTTTGGTTTTGAGTTAGCTGTTTGCCTTTCGATGGGGTGGGGAGGGAAGGGGGAATTGGGAGTTGGAGTTTGGGATTGTGGTTGCGACGTACATGGTGATGAGGGGGGAGGGAAGAAGCTATGTCAGTCGTAGGAGTAGTATCGGACGATCTTGTCCTTTTGAGTGGTTTCAGGATCTGCGGTCATACGGCATCACAGACGCTTTCTCTTCGATTCTTGGCAATTGATGTGTAGAGGACGAAAGATCTTATTTTGTCGTGATTTCATATCAAATTGTTTGTTGTTCTGATCATTATACCAGGTGATTATTGCGGAGGTGTTGTTGGCCGCCGGTGTCTTCCACTGCGGCCGTCTCGCTCACCGCTTTCGATGGGAATGTCCTTTGGGTGGACCTCGAAATAGCCCGCGGTTTTCTCCGCACTTGCCCACATTGAATGCATCTCCTGGGACTTTAGCGGAGCCCTGCATCGAGTCTGCAAGTCTACACATCTACATGGTGCACATAATTGGTCTTCTAGGAAAATACAATGGTCAAGGATATGGCCCATTGACCGGAAATCTGAATTGTCATACACGTCAACGTGATGAATTGCGTCTAATCATAAAGAACTCTCAATGGAGAATTGAATCACATGCGGCATCATGACCGGACAGCCACGACGTCTGTCACTTCCACGATATTCTATATCAAGCAATAAGTTAGCAAAGACAGAGTTCCCACAATGCATCCGCCTTCATATACTCGGGAGACAAGAGATAAGAAACTTACCGGCCGCCCCTGCACCACATGCTCCGTCTCAAACGACCGAGTCGTATACCGCACCTCCCCCTCCCCTCCCTTACCCCCAGCCCGCACATACTCCAGATAATCCGGCGCGCCGGGAATATCCGTGTTATCCGCAATGACCTTCGACCCGACATGGAACAGCGCCAGCTCCTCACACAGCTGCAAGTCCGAGAGGTAGAACTTCTCCCAGTGATCGAAGAACGCCATGTCGACGCCGCCGGGGGCGATCTTGCCTCGCTCGACCAGCCCCCGCAGGGACTCGGACGCGGGTCCCACCAGGACGTGCACGACCTCCTGCAGGCCCACGAGCTCGATGAAGTCCCGCGCCACCTGGGCGATGGACTCGCTCACCTCGAAGGTGTAGATGTGGATGTCGTTGTCCGCCGAGGGCCCGTGCAGGTCGCGCAGGATGGCCGCCCACGCGATGGCGGAGCAGCCGACGTAGGTCCCGAACTCGATGACGGTCTTGGGTTTGGGCTGCATGGACTCGAGGTGCTGCTTCGCGACCCGGAGCTTGGTTTCCTTGAAGTTCATGAGGTGTCGCGTCTGGCTGTATTCGTCGAGCGCACGGTACAGAGCCCATGGGTTGTTGCGGTAGGGCTCGGTCGTGGGTTGGCTGAAGATGTGGGCGTGCGCGGCTTGAGCGGCGGCTTCGGGAGACTTTTTGTTCCAGGAAGAGGTTAGATTTTCTGGGGATGTTCTGTAGGTAGGTAGGTAGGTAGGTAGCGGTGGGTGGGTGGGTTGGAGACTCACGTGCGGAGGCATGTTGGTGGGATTGGTGTGTATGAGTTGGTCTTGGGTACAAGTGGTTGGTGTCGAGTCAATAATAGGAAGAGCTTGGGCTTTGAGCGTAGAGGCAGTGTATTGGAGGCTGGTGATGACCGTGTCTATTGTGGACATGAAGCTTTTATACACGGCTGCTGGGCGATCTGCAAATGCAGACGGCGGTGACCTTCACCTGCCATCTTCGGTTCTGAGGTCAGTGGTCCACCCTATGACGAACGCCTTTCTATCTCCGAGAGGCGTATTCTTTGGCGCTTTTGACTGGCCCTATACACACAATTCCGAATGGACAACATGAGACCATTCGTCACGACCATCATTGAAGCCTCTGTGGTGGATATCATTGCAGGAGACTAGTACTAAAATGAGTTCTCCGTCCGAGATTCTCGGAGCTCGGTACTATATAAAGTAAGCGAGACCGAGATCTTATCGCCGAGGAATCCCACCGCCCACCGCTGCATACAAGATCCACCTCGGCTCGACGATGAGATGATCGCCTTACGTCGGAAGACTCGGACGTTGTGGCAGTGCAAAGTGAAGGCAACTTACCGAACGGCTGTGAGGCCTGTAGAAACGAATCTATAGCTTGACTGTGTAGTTTTGATTCACCCTGTAGAGACAGTTCGCAGTATTGTACACATTACTCCTCCCGTCGAGGATTGACCAGCCCCTCATTATTGAACTCATATCGCGTCTCCGCATCCTAAACCGATAAAAGCGTCAGTCAACCGCCCAGCAACAACTGCATGCCAAACCCTCATCCGAAGAACGAAAAAGAGCGCCACTCACCCAGTATTCCTCAAACCCCACGCCGGCACAAACCTCCTCATACCGCAGGATCTGCGGCGGCGCGCCGACCGTAAAACTCCGCTTCAAGCCCTCCAGCGCCTCGCGCGTACTCTTCAACCGGGCCGCCACCAATGTCCAGGGATACGCGACGGCCGCGAACCCCAGGCCCGCCAGCTCCGTCGCCGAGAGATTCTCCGTCCTGCCGCCCTCGATGATGTTCGCCAGCATAGGCACGTCCAGCTCCGCCACACAGCGGCGCATGGCCTCGCGGTCGGGCAGCGCCTCGACGAAGATGGCGTCCGCGCCGATCGCGATGAATTCCCTCGCCCGGGTCATCGCTTCGTTCCACCCGTGGATGAGGGCGTCCGTCCGCGCCAGGATGAAGATGTCCCGGCCCTGGCTGCGCGCGTCGACGGCGGCTTGGATCCGCGCGTAGGCTTCGCCCCGTGGTACCACTGACTTGCCTTTGGTGTGGCCGCAGCCTTTTTTATTTGGTGGGGGATGTTAATTTGGTGGTTCATGAGGGTGGGGAGAGCTGGGTGGGACCGCGGGGAGGGGGGTGGATAGGGACGTACGCTTCGGCCAGGTCTGATCCTCGATCATGACGCCGGCGGCCCCCGCGGCGGCGAAACACTCGACCGTTCGTTTGACGTTCATAGGACTACCGTAGCCCGTGTCCCCGTCGACCATGATAGGCAGGTCGGTGACGATGCGGGCGGTCTCTTGGATCTTGTGGCACATGTCTTCCATGGCGATGTACCCGGTGTCCGGCAGGCCGTGGGCGCTGGACACGGCAAAGCCGGAGAGAAAGATGAGTGGGAAGCCGGATTCGGCGACGAGGCGCGAGGAGAGGCCGTCGTAGGTGCAGGGAAATGCGAGGATGGTGGTTGGGTCGCGGTGGGAGGTTTGGAAGAGGGTGCGCAGGTGCGAGGCCTGTGGACTGGGCAGGCGGCCGCGGACATTTTGAAGGGTGTAGGTGAGGGTTTGAGGTTTGGCTTGGGAGCCTGGTGGTGATTGTGAGGCTGTTGCTGTTGTGCTGTGCTTGCTAGCTGAGGGGTGGGCTGGTTGAGTGTGATTGAAGGGGTACGGGGTCATCTTGGGCCGGTATGACTTGATTCTGAGGGTCCGTGAGATGTAAAATGTGTTGAAGTGGCAGAAGATACAGACAATGGTTTGTGGTAAGCATTTCTTTTGGGTGGTAGTTTTGTTGTTCAACCTGTTGATGTCACGGCGGGGGATGCTGAACACATGACTGCCGATCCATCTATAGCGGGGGTCATCCACTTCGGAGTATCAATGCTGCTGTGTAGAACACCACAGTCGTTGGCCCTGGGTTGAGAGCAGCACAGCTGTCCGGGGAGAGGCATTCCCCAACCATGAGCGGTTAGTACTATAATGTGAGTTTGGCGAATTCCTTTTCTGTCTCGTTGGGGTGATGTTGAGAAGTTAACCAGCTGACGTGGAATCGCAGTCTCGAGACGAAACCATGAATACCATTGTGCCTATTCTGTACCATGAAAAGATAGCTTGGCTACATCAAGGTCAATCTACCGTACCACTGCAATCACATTTGACACATTGTTATTCTCCTTTCAGGCGACAGCCAACAGAAACAATTGGAGAGCTCCTTGGCAGCATGACGGACATTCATCCACTTAAGATACCAGGTTTCGATTTCAAAGCATCCCGATGACGACTGAGCGCGAGGGGCTCCTATGTCGAGGCCGCTAGTGTACGGGGAATACCAGGATCCGCTGGAAATCCATATTCTAGAAGACCTGGAATTCAACCAACGACCAGAATACCGGCCACCAACACGTGGGCACATTCCGTAGGCCCGACGATAAGCCAAACCGCGTTCTTCACCCTGTCAGCCGCACGGACGGTCTGCGTTTCATGAAGAGAGTCCAAGCGGATGGAATCAGTTCGGGGGCCAAACTCAGGGACCCGCCGCGGGAAGTCATGCTCTAGAAACCGGTCGCCACGTGGAAACCGGTGTCGTTTGGGCGACTGGGCGATCAGACCATGCTGGTTTTAGTCCGGGGCTAAACTGGGCTGTTGAACAGATTGTCACTGCTAGGTTAGTCGGTGGTGGGTCGAGTCTAGTCTATGGGCGAATATCTATGGTATGTGTGGATGACTTTGGGGAAACGTAGATTTATGTGTATGATGTATCGATTGATATGCTAATATATCTCTTTCCTTCTTGCTCCAAGAGTGGGTATTGGGTATTGGTAGACAGCGTGATCGCACAGACAGACAGTAAAGAAAACACCATATACTCCTCTTAACCAAAGATGTGAAATACAGGATATCAGGTCGTAAAGTGTCGTCATCAAGAAAGGGGGGACTGGCATAAATTAAACCGATAGAAGTGCAATAGCCTGAGGCATCAGAGAAGGGGAGAAGAGAAGCCAGCAGGGCAGGAGAATTCATCTCCAAGGGAAGGGGCATTTAGTTAGTCTTGTCACAAAAGACAGCCAACTTCAACTCTCCGTCCACCCTCCGGATGATGCCCTCCTCTATAGCCCACTGCCGCAACAACAAATCCTCGCTTTCCTGCTCGAGGTTGTCCTTTTCATAATGGCGACCAACGTGCTCCATTCGGTCGTTCCAACTGTGTGCGCCAACAAATTCCTGTCCACAGAAGCCGCACTGGCTGTGAAGAGGGGGCTTGCGTTGCTCGTGCCAACATCGTGCCCGCACAGCCTCCAGGCTCTGCTCAAACGCCTCCCGTTCTTCTTCGGTCTCGGGCGACTTCCGGTTCCGGTACACCCAGGGGGCATGCATGCGACGCTGGTGCTGAGTGAAGAGGTCTTTGCGGTTGAAGTCATTGACCAGGTGAGATTCGTTGTATGCGAGGGGCTCGTGCGGTGAGCTGAGGTTTCTCTCTTTGCTCAGGTTGTCCAAGCTACAACGCCCCACATCGCATCGGAAAAATCCCAGTTGAATGTGCTGAGAGATCACATGTCGCTTCCACTCGTTCTTCGACACGAATGTGCTGGGGCAGCCATAGTGTGAAAAGCTGCAGGTATATACTCGACTGGGTGGTGGGGTGTTCTTCTTCGCCGTTGCCCTTGAGCCAGCACGGGCGCTCGTAGTGGTGCTTGTCTTGCTGGATGGCTTTCGAGTCGGCTTGGCGATGCGATTCTTGCTGGCTTTCGGTGCTTTTCGTGGTTTGACTTGGAACTTTGGCGAGTCACAAGCGGCGCGCTCCTCCTTGGCCGGCTGGCCACAGATCGACATCTCAGTTGTGAAACTGGTCTCACAGTTCGAGAAGGCCCCCTGATACGAAAATATGGCATGCGTGCTCGGTAAGGGTAGTTCAGGCTCAATCTTCACCATGGACTCGGGTTCTGGGTAGATTTGTGAAGGCGTCACCAGATAGTCAACAACAGCGGGCGAAGCGCACGGCTCATATGCAGATGGAGGTATCATGACATCGTCACAGGTATAAGGAGGAGACATATAACATCCCATATTCATCCAGTTCGTGTCGTTGCACTTGGGACTTCCCAGCGCCGGCGAAGAGGTGGGCTCGCTGCTCCAGGGAGACGAGAAGCCTGTCGTGAGAGTGTCGATATCATCTCCCATGCTCGTCCAGGACATGTTAGATGTGGGATAAAGGCCTTTCATAGGGATAGCTTCCGGAGTGAGATGAGGTTGGAGGCCTGAAGGATGTTGACTCATCGTGGGGTCCGTATACGACGACTCATACTTGCAAGGGTACAGTTCATAATCCTGGGGAACACTAACCCCGGGTGCTGGTTGGGGAACATCGGAGAAGGCTGAGAAATGGTCCATGATATGGAAATGAAGAAGCAAGCAAGAACTCGCTTCGAACTATAGATTTGTCTGTACACAGGACCACAACACAGTCGGGAAAGAAAATGTTTGGCTCCATGTGTCGCGGCAGCCAGGGGCATTTATCTTTCAGCTGGACGACCACATGGCTATGATACGGGAAATGGGGCACTGTAGCCCGAAAAGAGCCCAGAGTCAAGGCCATTGTTGAGCCGCATAGGCTCAATGGGCCGGGCGATTATTCGTCGAAATTGTTTGCGGGATGGATTGATGATTCCATGCATTTTGAGAGACCCAAAGCAGGAAACCCCTGCAGCGGCATCTAGCCCGGGCTTCAGGTTCTGGACATCTGGACGATCCATTTTCATTTCCCATTTCCCAATATACTTTTCTTGACACTAACGCTCAGTTCAGTCACGCTATGAAGGGGTCCCCCCTGCCAGTTTGTTGGGATTATCGCGCACATCTTTTCCTGAGAAGTCTCTGGAACAAAGCAAACCGTTGTTATCATCTAAATTTACAAATTTACTGCACAGAAGGAAGCATTCCAATCCCTCGTGGCTCGCACAGCCCAGGTTTCATGCGTGCACATTCCAAGTTTCCACTGATTGATTGGATCTGGGGGGTTGCTTCCTTCTGTGCCCGACGAGTCTCCCCCAGAGCCCCCAGAGTGCCTGCCATTCAGCCTCAATTTAATTGATAGGCAGTGTTGCGCTAAGTCGGCGTTAGCTGGGCCAAACCATACCAACAGGGTTTAGTTAATTTGACTTGTCGGGGGCCAAAACCCACCCCTGGGCCCATCTGCCTGCCAGCGTTGACTTATTATCGCCTCCGCACCAACCACAACCTTCAATAACGAGTCATTGAGCAAAGTCGGTATCGCTCATGCAGGGGGTCTCAAACAGGTAAAAATCCACAGCGATCATCACTTCGTTCAGCTGCGTGGTGACTATGACTGGTTGCCTCTTTGCGCACCTGTTGGCTTTTCCCCGGGCGCGATTTGACCCTGTCGGCGAGGCACGCACCCACCGCATCAACCCGCGCCACGCTGTCTTTTGATACGCTTTTGGCATGCATGTCCCACCTGGAAATAATAATAATAATAATGACGCTCCGACCTCATTCTCCAGGCGTACCGTTACCCGCTAAACGTCTGACAGGCTCACGGATCGTGTGTCTTCCGTTAGCACCTTGGTCATCCTCTTGAGATGTACGGAATAATTATTCTCATCATTATCGTGACTCGCCAAGGATTCCTGATATCATCCCTTAGACATGGCAAAGGGTCCACATTTCTTTCCCCCTTTTACAACCTTGAAGTATAGTTGAACATTCGGTATGCTTGAAGCAGCGGTTGCTCTCCACTTCGTCCTATTTTCTTTTTGGGGGCCAAATTGGTTCCGATGGACCACGCGACAACTCCCGCGCTATGCAGCGATTCGACAGATCGGTATCTCTGTTATGAAACCAACTAACGGGGGGGGGGGGTGGTTGAGGATCGACCTGGGCTCGACTATTCACACCATAAAGGGAAAGGTCAGATTGGTGATTATCAGAAGACGAAGGTTTCGCGACCGATGGCTGAATATTCATCATCGTACGTTTTAATTTCGACAATTTCGAGAGACCGGCAACTAGATACCTCGAGGCGTTCATCGGTGGCTGAGGGGTTGGCTGTGCTGGGAATGCATCCGACCGCTTCGGTGAGTATACACAGGGATCATGGATATCTGGCAAGGCGCTTTTCTATCGCGGTACGACATCGGCCACCGCTTCTTTATCCTGTCACTGCAATACGTAACCCGTAGGGCTCAAGGAACTTTCGGAAGAAATCCGGGTTTCTTCCTTGTCCACGGCGGTAAGATGTGGTTCGGAAAGTGGAAAAGAAGCGGTGCAGCCCCAGTGACTCCACCACTGCAGCTAAACTGACTCATAACTTACTTCCTTCCTGCCTGTCAGTTGCCGCAGCTCAGCTACTACCTAGGTATACTCTGTAGATGTGGAAAGTGCCTTTATTATTATTTCCCATCGGAGGCATTTTGCTTTCCGTTCCTCGCAGCCCATTGGTTTGTTCGTGTAATTACATCATTCTCTTTCTCCTCCCGTTAACCCCGTAAGGTACCTTATCGTGACTACTAGCTCAGTATCATCATTCTCGTTGATTCCCCCCCCCCCATCCCAGCTGAACGTTCCGGGCGAGTTCCTCCCAGGCAGTTTCCGAAGGGGACGGACGCCCCGCGACAAACGCGCGTCTCATGCGAATCATGCCTGTGGGCGTGCAGCATCTCGAGCAACCCTCTTTTGATCCTCGCCTCTTCGAATTGACATCATTTCCCGTGTCACCGGGTGACTGCTGACCACTGCTTGCTTGCTGCTTGCTTCCTTGCGACGCCCGGTCTAGGATGATCCTGTGTTGGGACGTCCCATAGAACTAATTCCCCGTTGTTTTTTTTTTTTGGCCCAGGGACTGGAACTTACTGGGAGCCAGCAGTAACTTAGCACTAAGCTCGACTGTAGATATGTACGGTACTGTAAGTTACCATGTATGTCACCGACCTCAACGGGGAACCACTGCTTCTAAACCAAGCCCAGATAAGATACAGTTACGAGGGACCGGACTTGCCCCACTCCTACCGCCCGCCCCATCCGTGGAAGAGACAGTTGAAAGGTCCACACCATAACTTTGAACTGCACTGACCTGACACTTGCCATTTACCTACACGGACACTGATACTCCATCAAAAAGAGACGAGTTGCTTCTATCTCCTAAGACCGAAATGGAGCAAGACTCTAGCTGGCCCACCCACATCACCCCCATAAACATACAGTACAGCCACAGACACAGCCCCAAATCCTCACCAAGACCGAGCAGAAAAAGAAACCCCAACAAACGAGCCGATTCCAAACCATGACCAAAACACCTACCCCTCAGCAACAAGCAAGCAAGAAAAGTCAATCACTCCTGCTTGACCTTCTTCCCCCACCGCTTCGGCACCCGCACCAACCAGTACAGGAACACCGCGGCCGCCGCATTGAACACCACGTACACGAACAGCAAGCCGATGTTGCGCCAGCGGTCGGCGAACGACATGCTCAGCGTGGCCAGGAACTGGTCGGTCGTCGAGTAGGCGCAGACGCGGCAGGTGGTCGTGTCGGACGGGTTAAGGAGGCGGGCCTGGGCGGCTGCAACCCAGGGCCCGAGGTAGTCGGCGCAGGTCTGGTTGGCGGGCGGCGGGATGTGGAGGAGCTCGATCTCGGAGCAGTTGACCTCGGCGCCGGCTAGGCCCACGCTGAGGATCGCAGAGACGAGGTAGGTGAAGGGGGAGACGCGGTACATGAAGATCCAGAAGCGGGGGAGCGCGGTCGGGGAGGCGAGGACGCTGATGAGTGAGTAAGGTTTGCGTTAGCGTGACTGATCCTGATGCTGATACTGGTTCAGATGGGAAGGGGGGTTGAGGAGTAGACTCACCCGTTGAAGATCAAACAGAAGGAGAATAACAGCTGGGCAACGTTGCTGCCGGTTTCGGGCTGCTCGATCCCGGCGATCACCATGGAACTGAAGGTGGAGGTGAACATCATGAAGACCAGGATCAGCAGGAACATGGTACCTCCGCGGTCGGTCACCGCGCCCGCGGGGAGGTGACGGTAGAATCCGATCGGGTAGTACCACGAGAAGTAGGCGGGCGCGGCCATGAGGATGTTCCAAGGGAGCTCGACGAGGATGCTGGCGAGCATGAACGCTTTCCACGAGTAGGCCTTGGACGGCCGCTCGCGCACCTCGTATAACGACCGCTGGCTTACGAAGTATGGCATCATCTGCTGCACGAGATTGGGGAAGATCACTAGTAGCATGAAGATGGCGAACATCTCGTTCTGCATGCCCTGAATACTGGTCGGCTCGCGCCAGAAGGTGAACCCGATGAAGAGAGGCTGTATCGGTCGTGGTTAGTGATGAGTCCAATTAGTGATCGTAGAGACAGAGGAAGTAAGAGACGTACAGGAATGATGCACATGGCGGCCTTGGAGTAGATGTACGACGGGCTGCGCCAGTATTGCTGGAACATGCGCTTCAGACACAGGACGAACTGCGCCCAGATCGGCATCGCGAACTCCCCGTACCCAGTCACTTGCGGAGGGGGTGGCCGCTGCAGAAGCTCCGCCTTCATCTGTGCAAGTTCGTGACGCACGTGCGTGCGCTCGGGGCTCTGATTCCAGACATCGGCCCAGTCTTTATCAGCATGGGACCCTGGGGCGGCTCCGATCACCTCGAGCATCCACTCGGCGGGGTTGGCATTGGGTGGACACTTTGCGGATCCCTTGTCCTCAAAGTACTTAATGAGTGTTTCCATGTTCGGACCCAGCTCGCCAAAGTAGACGGTCCGTCCTCCTTTCGCCAGGAAGAGAAGTCGATCGAACTCTTGCATGAGGATCGCCGACGGCTGGTGAATTGTACACAAGATTGCTTGGCCGTGGTCTGCTAGCTTACGCATCAAGGAACAGATAGACCATGCCGTCTGACTGTCAAGACCTGAAGTGGGCTCGTCGAAGAAGAGAAGGAGGTCTGGTTTCGCCGCAATCTCCACCCCGATAGTCAGCCGCTTGCGCTGTTCAACGTTCAGACCTTCGCCCAGGACGCCCACAACTGCTTCAGCGTATGCTTCCATATTGAGCATCTTGATCACTTCCTCAACGTATGCGATCTTTTCCGCACGCGGGATACTGGCCGGCTGGCGTAACATTGCACTGAATATCAGGGCCTCGCGCACAGTACTCGTCTCTAGGTGCAAGTCCTGCTGTTGAACATAGCCCGTCTTGCGAGAAAAGGAGTTATTGCGCATGCGCCCGTCGACCAGCATTTCGCCCGTCACGACGCCCATGGTAACGCGGTTTGCCAGCACATCGAGCAAAGAGGTCTTTCCAGCGCCCGTCACGCCCATCAGCGCTGTCAGCGTTCCGGGCTGAACCCATCCGTCGACGTGGTCGAGAATGGTGCGGTTTTGGCCCTTGATCTTGATATTGTAACAGACATCTTGCCATTGAAAGATCGATGTTTGCTTAACAATCGCTGCAGTATCTTGGTCCGGATCGTGATTCTTCTCTGCAGCTAGCCGGTTCTCTTCGGCCATTGGCGCGTGGCTCTCTACGTCGCTGCTGATGCCCGGTTGTTTCTTTTTGATGAATGCCGGCATCTTCCCCCGCGGGAAAACGAGGATCTCACCTTTTGATGGCTTGGCGCGAACCAGCTCGCTGCTGACGACGTAGCAGGCTAGGGAGAACAGAAGGAATGCCCAGATAATGCCGTAGTTGCGCCACAAGTGCGAGCGATAGTACTGGTAAGTGACATTGATGAATCTGTCCCCATCGACGAAGCCTTGTCCCGCGATTGCGCCGTTAACGCTACAGATCTTGGAGCTCAGGGGTGCATCACTATAAGAAGGGACGTAGAGTGCACAGGGAAATTGGCGGTCACTGAATTCGTTGATCATCAGGCTTTCGAAGGCATACTGTTGCTTTATTAGTGGAACACCTTCTAAAACTCTGAGTTTGGGTAGACGTACGCCAATCGGGTTCAGGTAGTTCAACCACCGGAACCAAGGATGCATGTCTCGCACTGGAATTGTGAAACCTGTGTAGATGACAAGGATCATCATGAAGATGGACGATGGGACCATCGCTTGAGCCATAGACCGCGAGACGGCGCCAGTAAAGCGGAAGATGTTGGACATGGTGAGCGTCACAGTGACGGAGAAGAGATAAAACACAAAGAAGTGACCCGCCGTACGGCGTAGATTAGACATGAAATAGAGGATTATGTTGAAAACCACCGACACTATGAGTTTCGACGGCAAGTCCACTAGCATGGAACTGATTGCTTCCGCAGACGGGTGGTAGAGCGCATATTTATCATGTTTCTCCACGATCGGTCGCTGTTGCCACAGAGTCAGAATCTCCAAGGCACTCGCAAACGCGTTGAGAAGGATGGCAAAAAATAGGAGGGCGCCACGCTGAAAAAAGCTGTTGGTAGTGGTGTCCAAATTATAGAATACACTGGCAACAACCAAGGCCATGATGCTGTTTCCAATAACTGAGGTAAGAGTCATGGTCATATCTCCCCTCAAGCGCTGCATACCTCGTCGAAGACACAGGCGAATCTGCATAGGGTAAGACAGTGTATAAGGGGACTTGGCTCTTGTTCCTTTTGCCTTCTCGGCCGCGCGGGACCGCGAGAACTCTTCGTATTTGTCTCCTTCTAGAGGGAATTCAGCCTGAAAAGCCTCGATATCGGCAAGAAGTTGCTTTCTTTCCGCACTCTCTTTCCATCGAGAGGCAAATTCGTCGGGTGTCCGGGGAACCAGGTGTTCAAACCCTTCGCGAGCTTTCCGCTCCGTAGGACTGGTTAGCGAGGTGAGAAAGTCTGCTGTGGTTTGCCTATCAGGACAATCAAACCCCATGTCCACAAAGAACCGCTTAGCGTCATCTGCATGGCCGAAGTATATTTGGCGACCTTCATATAGAACGGTCACTTTATCGAAGATGTCATAGATAGCCTGACTGGCCTGGTAGATGGCCACGATGGCTGTTGATCCGGTGTAGTCGGTAGAAACCCGCAATCGTCGCACAAATTCGAGAGCTGTAGAGGAGTCCAAACCTCGCGTGCTATTGTCCCAGCATTGCAACGGGCTGCCACACAGCATTGTCTCGGCTATGCTGACTCGTTTTCTTTCTCCTCCCGATACGCCTCGAATGTACTCGTTACCAATTTGCGTGTTCAGTGTGTGGCTCAGCCCCAGCATCGCCATAACTACGTCTCGCATGTGGGTAGCATATTGTTCACGTGTAACGCCCGGAAAACGATTGGATGGTGCTCGAGCATGGGCTGCGAAATGCAACGTGTCTCCCACAGTAAGTTGCGGGAAATGTGTCTCTGTTTCGGCCTGGTAGATCACCTCTCCGCGGAAACGACTGTGCATTTCATTCCAAGAAATGCCTTGATACTGGATGTCGGTTCCTTCCTCGAGCCACAGCCCATGTGTTTCCCCCGCGATCGTCTTGAGGAATGTCGAGCAGCCACTAAGCGAGCGATCAATCAGCGTTGGACAATCCACCATGCATGGCTAAGGTCAAGAGAATGGTAACACACCCAAGAGGCTAGGAAACGGAAAAGTCATGATTGTCACCAACGGGTGATATAGCTTACCTTCCAGGGCGGCCAAGCACGACGAGCATCTCACCACTGCGCACAAGCCCCTCAAAGTTGCGGAGAATATCGATCCTGACCTTGTGCCGGTGACCCAATACGCCCTTCAGCCAGTCAAAACCTTTCAGCCACATATTAGCTACATTTGCCTGATAGTCCGCCGCGGTTCCGTAGCCAAAAGCGTTGAGATTGCGGAAGGAAACGCCCGCTGTGCGACGAGGGTATCTGTCTGGGTCGCGGGATGTAATCCGGAGTAGATTCTTGGTCCATTTGCGCGCATTGAATTGGTCTGAGCTAGGATTCAGCTGAGGGTCGCTGGGCTCTTTGGAGAAGGTATCGGTGCCCTCGCCGATGGTACTCTTTTCGGACAGATGCGACAGACTTCTTGCTAGAGAAGCAATCCTCTGTTTATCTTTGTGGGTGATACCCTCTTCCGACTCCTGACCGAGGGACTGCTCGCTCTCTTCTTTCTCCTCGATGGTTTCTGTGACGTGAAACGAGCTTTCGATCCCCGCGCCCACAGTAGCGGAAACGGCCGAAGCTCCAAAAGGAGAGGGAGGTACTGGTTGCATGATTACTGCAGGAAGCTGGTCGTTACAGAGCTCTTTGAAGTTGAGGGGAATTCATGACATCAAGTCCCGGCCTTTGGAACGAAATAGACACGAAGGAAATGTAGGGTAGTAGATGAGAAAGTGGGATGAGGATGTCGGGTACCTGAGAAAGTTAAGTATGGGGATCCAAGCCAGCGAGAACAACACAGGCGGAAGACGGGAGAGTCCACATCCGAGGGGATGCCATCACTTTCCTCCTACATTATTGAGTCCTCGAGCCATGGTCGAATTAGTGCCAGAACCAAACTGGAGAGGCTTTTTGCCCGCCCGCCTGAGCGCTCTTACCGTTTTGGTCGTAGTCTCCCGCGTGGCTCTCGTTGTATAGACTCCGTACGTCGCTTGCAAGTGGCGCGTCAAAGAAACAGTACTTCGTATAGAGTATCCCCCGCCAAGAAGGGGTCTTAGCTGTCAGCTTGGATCTCTGCATGGCAAGGGAGGTTTCGGGGAGGGTAAGCAATGCAGGAGGAAAATGCGGAAAATATGCATATGTACACAATCGCAGTGAATAGTCTGCATATTCAGGAGAATTGCGGATGCTGTGGTACCATGCTAGGTAGTGAATGTGATGGGATGGGGATGAGATGGAAAGTAGGTAGGAGGAATAACTATCTTAGTGCATACTAGGTATGCAGGCTCAGCTTGCTCCACCCACTTCCCGTCACTACCCCGGATCTGATCCAATCCGCGCGGGAAGGGAAAGTTCCGAATCAGTCATGCTTGGATCACCTGAGCAGTACCTCACCACAGCCTGCAATGAGATTAAGATTGCGACCAAAGACGTGCTCACTCTTGAGAGCCATTCGATTGAAACACTTCTAACAAAACTCATGGCCATCTAGATTTTCACGAGCCAATTCGAGAAGCAAAACCCGTGATTTAGCTATTTAGCACTCACAACGGGCTCAAGTAGATCGAAACCTGACGATTAGTTAACTTAGAGCGACGGCTTTGACTAATGATAAAGATGACCTTACCCTTAACTTAAAATCCCCAATAAAAAAACCTATCGCTCTACACCCGAGAGTCTTGCGAACGACTCAAATACTCGACAACAGAGAGAATTGCCGTCGGGTCTTGGAGCAGTTGGAAGTTCAAAACCTGAAGGAATCACCCAATGTCGGCCCTGAGCCGCATTGCCAGAGATCCTGCTCTCGATAAGCATGCAAACTCAGCAAGATCGATTGATAAGCTTGGCCATCGTGTCAAAGTGGAGCACGATTCCGTGCTGACTTCCCCACTGTGGGGGTCTTGTTCACTGTTGATAAATTTAAGCCAGACGCGTCCCTGCGTCAGAGTCAATCCTCAAACGATTGCGTTCCTAACTCGGAATATCCAAGCAGTAACTTACCATGACCACCCACGATGCACATGTGTCTGATGTCGAGCCAGCGCTGCCAAATGCTCAGGAAGAACAGCCGCTGCTGCGCTCCGACCCGGAAGCTTCATGGAAGCCACCACCAGGTTTCGTCTGGATACAGCTAGGTTAGTAGTCCACCAAAAACATGGAAGCCACTCCATTAATCAAAATCTAGCAATCATGTCAAACGTCTTTCTCTCCGGGTTCGATGGTACCATCACTGCATCGACTTACGCAGTCATCAGCTCCGAGTTTGTTGCCGCCAACACCGCCTCGTGGCTCACCACATCCTACCTCATCACGAGCACCGCATTCCAGCCATTATACGGTCGCTTTTCGGATATATTCGGTCGGCGAGTCTCTTTCTTCACGGCCACGATCACTTTTATCGCTGGCTGTCTTGGATGTGGGATTGCGAAGAATGTGGTGTTCCTGAATCTCATGAGAGCGCTTACCGGCATCGGAGGAGGAGGCCTGATGACCATGGGTGAGTTTGACAATATGATTGTTTCGTCAAAGTACTTGATCAGGGTCTGTCACTGACATCAATCAGCCACTATCATCAACTCGGATCTGATCCCGTTCCGTCGCCGAGGGATGTATCAAGCGGTTCAGAATGTGATGCATGGCTTCGGGTCAATCTGTGGTGCATCCCTAGGAGGCTCTATTGTCGACTCTGTCGGCTGGCGATGGTGCTTCCTGTTGCAAGTTCCAGTTGGTCTTCTGGCATTGCTCACAGGGCACCTTGTTCTTCAGCTTCCTGCGCCGACGAGATACCTTGAGGAAAGACACGGCTTTCGGACCATCTGGCGACTTGTTGACATCTCTGGGGCATGTGCTCTTATACTAGGTCTATCGACCCAGCTGGTAGGTCTGAGTCTAGGGGGCAACGAGCTTCCTTGGACCAACGTGTGGGTGATAATTTCGTTGGTGGCAAGTGTGGCTTTCCTGGCCGTGTTCATTCTCATAGAAGGAAGAACGAGTGCAGTGCCCCTGATCCCACCAAGGATGCTGAAGGGGGTACTTCCTGTGGCCACCCAGGTTGCTAATGTTTGCGTGGGAATGGCCGCCTACGCTGTAAGAGCCTCGATCCCACTTAGGTACTGATCCGCAACTGTGACTAACGAAGGCAGTTTCTTTTCACACTACCCCTTTTCTTCCAAGTTGTGCTAATGGAGTCACCTGCAAAGGCTGGCGCCAGACTCGCAATTCCATCCTTTGCTACCCCAATTGGCGGAATTATCTCCGGCTTCGTAATGTCTCGTTGGGGTAAGCTCGCTTACCTGGTTCGAGCTGGGTCGTTGCTCATGTGTATCGGCAACGCATTGGTGATGCTCCTGCATTTCCAGGACTCAGAATGGAAATACTTCACTTACTTGATTCCAGCGAGCCTTGGGCAGGGTATTGTGTACCCAGGGATCTTATTCACTTTTCTCGCTGCATTTGACCATGCAGGTAAGTCCCTTGTCGTCTCAGTGCACTAATTGTACGAAGTTGACCTGGCGGTAAGACCACGCCGTGTCAGCTTCCACCGTATACCTGGTTCGTTCAATGGGCACTGTTTGGGGGGTTGCCATTACTTCCACCATTATTCAGAATACACTGCGCTCGGGCCTCGGGGAGGCCTTGAGTGGAATACCAGACAAATGGAAAGTAACACTCCTTTCCTTGAGCATACTAACCCATGGGGGCAAGGACTGATCAAGGTCATATTCCACTAGATTATCGAGGAGATTCGTCATTCGGTCTCCGCAATTCACAACCTTCCACCGGACATTCAACTAGCTGCGCGGTTGGTCTACTATCAGGGCATCCGTCTGTGCTTCTTGGCGTCAGCTTGCTTTGGGCTTGTGGCCACCATTGCGGCACTATTCACGAAGGGTAAAGGCCTGCATCGCTTGCACGACGCCTAAGGACTGGCCGCCAGACCCCAACTGGGGTCCACGATGCAACCGCGCTAGCCACCAAAGCGGCGATTGCTTTGTACAGGGGCCAGAAAGGTATATCGAATGATGAAGAAGTCTCCGAATAGGTGAGGCTAGACTGGGTGAGCTGCGGAAATAAGGACGGTTCTAGGAGGGGGCAGACACTACATCCTACCCGCAAGTGACAGGTGCAAGTCTGTTGCACGGAAGCATATATAACGCCAGTCGAATGAACGAGTAGTATTTGAGGAGTGAGACTGTTTCCTGCTTGTTGATTGGGACTTCCTCAATACGAGGACCATCGTCGAGCAGCTTGATTCCGCCTCCCCCGCGTTGCGGAGAAATAAACTCTGAATCTCTGATTGCCGAGGGAAACCCCCCCGTTAGCCTGACGGCTCGGAACCGCTGTTTAATTCCATCGTCAATTCGCAAGACATATAGTATAGTAATGTGTCTGCCTGTGAACTGTGGGGAATGGGAATGAGCTAAGGGTCCCAGGTTCAGGCCTTCAGTAAAGGAGGTCTCTTCCACGGGCAGTCTGGCATCACTAGCTACATCTCCCCCGCATTATCAGCGACGATCAACTTGGGGCAGACAGTGGATAATTCCGCCCCAGTTCCGCTATAATGGGTCTCTCTAAGCTTAATCTGGGGCCAACCCGGGGCCCGCTTTGATAAATTTGATAAATGGGCTCGGAATTCGATAAGCGTTCCGGGCTATCTGTAGGTAAACAAGTATCTGTCATTACCTATCAAGTAGTCGTGCTCCTGATGAATCATCGAATTCCACCCTCCCCACCCCCAGGAATCTTATCAAACTACTGTACTAACCTCGCTTATCATATTGTGGCTTTCTTCCAAGGTAAGTAAGTATGGAGGCAAAAGTCATGTGTACTGTAGAAGGATGGAAGATGCCATATAATGGAATGGCTCCTCCCTTGGCACTCTTCATTCCACCCCTCCCCACATCGTTTCTTGACCAAGAACCACACTTGAGAAATAATGGAGTCAGACAACCCTAAGCGATCCTCTTCCAAAGCGGATCATGAGGCTTCCTATGACCCCGAGGTCGATATGGCCAAGGGCCATGTTGCTATCACGGGCGTGCCGGATGCGCATATGAAGCGGAATTTCAGTATCCTCAGCATCATCGCCATGGGGTACAACAATACCAACAGCTGGGTGGCGATAGCTGCGAGTTTTTCGATTGCCATTCAGTCAGGCGGCTCTGTCTCGCTACTGTATGGTATCATCGTCGTCTTCCTTGCGATGCTCTGCACGGGCATCACCTTGGCCGAGCTGGCGAGCGTCTACCCGACGGCGGGAGGGCAATATCATTTCACGTCAATTCTGGCCTCGAAGCGCTGGAGCAAGGCCCTGTCATACACCAGTGGCATCGCTGCCCTATTTGCGTGGATCACCCTCGGGGCGTCCATCGCCTTGTCCACGACCAACGTGCTCATGGCGATTGTCATCCGGTGGCAGCCCGAGTATGAGACCAAGAGCTGGCATTACTTCCTGGTGTATCAGCTGTTGAACGGCATCATGGTCGCCTACAACATCTTCCTGACCAACAAGACCCTGTGGATTTATAACCTGGGCTGTAAGTGCATGCCTTCCTCACAGGTGAAGTCAACTTGATGCTGACCATGACCAATCCCATGTGCTACAGTCCTCCTCTCCATCTCAACCTTCCTTGCCCTCACCATCACCTGTCCATCCCGCTCCGCAGCGCACGTCAGCTCGTCTCATACCTGGGGGGAATTCGTCAACGGATCCGGCGGCTGGCCCGACGGCATCTCCTTCCTGACCGGCCTCTCCACGCCGCAGTTCATGTATTCGGGTCTCGACGCCACCCTCCACCTGGCCGAAGAATGTCTCGACCCGGAGCGGATCGTCCCCAAGGCAGTGATTGTGACCGTCATCGTGGGCTTACTGACGGCGTTTCCGTTCGCCATTGCCATACTGTACAGCTACAACAACATCCAAGCCTCTCTCGACAGTCCCACGGGGTGAGTTTCTTCCAAGATATCCCCACCCCACCTGCCCGCCCGCCCGCCTGTCAAGCAATCCACTAACAACATCCCATGGGACACACACAACAGCTTCCCCATCTTCTTCGTCTGGGAGAAAGCCACCCACTCCCCGGTAGCCGCCACGATCTTCATGGCCGCGCTCTTCGTCGTCTCGCTGGTCGCCCTGAACGCCGTCCACCAGACCGCCTCGCGGCTCACCTGGTCCTTCGCCCGCGACGACGCCCTCTTCTTCTCCCGCCGGCTAGCCAGCATCCACCCTTCCCTAGGCGTGCCCGTCTACTCTCTTCTTTTAGATGGCCTCGCCGTCCTCCTCGTAGGCATCGTCTACGTCTGCTCCACGACCGGTACGCCTCCCCCCTTCCCCAAACCATCCACCACCAAACACAGCTGACGAAAAAAAAAGCCTTCAACGCCTTCATAAGCACAACGGTAGTCGTCGCGCAGATCTCCTACGCCATCCCAGCGGCCCTCCTCCTCTCCCGCCGCCGAAGCCCCGACTACCTCCCGCCAGACCGGACCTTCAAGGTACCCCACGCGCTGGGCTACCTATGCAACGTGGTCTGCATCCTCTGGGCGATCATCATCACCATCTTCTTCACCTTTCCCACCGAGTTTCCAGTCACGGGGGGGAATATGAGTACGTTGCCCCGGTCTCTCTCCATCTCAACCCCTTCCACCAGGGAAAAAACAAAAAAAAAAAAGCCCGTCCAGCAATTCCCTCCCCTACATCTCCCCCCACCCCAATCAAGATGCACTCTTCACCCAGACAATATACTAACTAGGACACCCATTTGGGAATTGAACAGATTACGCCTCCGTCGTGCTGGTCATCATGCTCATCCTCGGGGTGGGGAACTGGTACGCCTACGCGCGGCGGCATTATCATGGGCCGAGGTTGGAGATGTGATAACTTACCCCGTAGCACTAGTTATCAATCACTTTACCCAATCATATGTAGTTAGCAAGCTAGCGAAGACTTCTGATGCCTAATGACAAAGTATATGAACCTTGACTTCGAATTCATGCGTGATTCGCTTCCCAATCGGCGTAAGAACCTGCAGCCTTCCAAAATTCCATATCTAAGCCTGTAGTTGTTCAGTATTTCCACAGTTTAGGAAGTGAAAAGTAACTCTCTTGGCCGAGTTCATCCTCTGATATCCCGATTTGAGGGGGTTGATCTACTGAACATATGGGTATGTGCTGAACATATGGGTATATGCATAATATACACATCTAGTCAGTTGTGCATAGCCAGATAGATACAGGATGTATTCACGTCGCCACAAATTAGAACATCAAGGAGAGAGAGAACAGACGAGAGTTGGTTCCTCAGGTTTGACTTTGATAGGTAGGTAGGTGGTGATAACCGCATACTCATGGTAGTTATCCAATCAAGATGGATAGATACAAGAGGCAACTGCTTCGTTTTGAATCGTCGTAGAGTCCGGTGACGAGTTCGACTTCGCCTATCCGGTCCTTGGGCTGCGTTCAACATCCAGAAGTGATGGTTTGAATTCCGCGATTGAGTCTATTTTGAAGCACATGACATCATGGGAGTAGGAGATCACTCGACAGATCACATGCCCTAGATGAGCACATCAAGACGAAGGCATACCGGTTGTTACAATCAGAAGTGGCCACAGTAGCATCCACAAGAAGTTCCCAAGTACTTCCCAAGTCGCGCAAATGGTTCTGTTTCGTCCGTACTTAGCCTTGGGGGTCGAATCATAGTGAAGCGACGAAAAGGCCGATCCGCAACTGAGATATCTACTCGTCACAAACCAATTCCAACACAGCCAAGATTGCCGACATCACATTCGACGGGCACTGGACGAAGCAAAAGACCACCACAGTAACAACAGCGCAGGGAAACGAACTCGATGCGCACGCCCAGCAGATACCAAACTAACAGTAAAAGGTAATCATGAATTAAGTGCCATGCGGCTATGCAGGAGGCCGGTTGTTCTGGAACCTTCTCTCACGGGCACAACCTCAAGAGCCTAGAGCCCGACTCCCAGCCAGAATAAATCACACAAATCACCGTACAACAAAAAAACCGCAGTTCCACAAATCAAGCAGTGCAACGTATGAGATTAGAACATAAGAAAATAGGAAATTATCCAGGAGCGAGGCCCGTGCGGCGCAACCGCGACAACCATGCTGCCGCACCCACGCTGAACGGCCCCCTCATTCCCGGCGCCCTTTTCAGCTAAACAACTCGAGCGGTCTAGTGGTGTGTAAGCGGGAGTGGCGGTCGTAGTAGGGGGGGTTGTAATAGAAGCAGCAACGCCATTATCGGGAGGAAGTTCGTTTCGTTTAACAAGGAGGTGGAGGGGGTCATGGATCGATCATGGCGTCTAGCACATTTCACAGCACTCGATGCAGTCAAAGCAGCACTCGCAGGTCTCTTCGCACAGACACAGACAGCACAGAGTAGCCAAGCTGAGCAGAAGACAAATGTTAGTAAGAGATTCTGGCGGGACTGGAGAGGGCAATGCAATGGATCGCTTACCAGGTTCCTAGACAGCCGCGGTCCTTCTGCTGGGGAGGGGGTTGCTGCTGGTACTGCATGGGTTGCTGGAAGGGTACGGTTAGTGACAATCAGTGGCATGATCTCGAGTCGCAACGTACAGGAGCATAGCCCTGGGGAGGAGGGCCAGGGGGGTATCCGCCCTGAGGAGGGTAACCCTGCTGGTAACCTTGCGGGGGATATTGGCCGTAACTGTAGGGAGGCGATGAGTTAACAGTTGTCGCGCACGATGAGGTGGTCGGGATCAGTCCCCAAGATAAACTGGTCGGGAGAGCGCAAAACAGGGGAATTGCATGACCAGTTGGACATGACCCTCATGGCGCTCGACAAGTCTGTCGGGTTGGATCCGCCATTGTTGTCTGGATAAGAGGAAAGGCCAGGGGCGCGACAGGAGGCACGGAGGCCAAGAGACCGGGCGCAATGGACGAGGGAAGGGGAAAGGACTTACGCCTGCTGCGGCGGAGGAGGACCGTTGTAGTATCCTTGTTGAGACATGGTGACAAGAACGGGATCTAGAGAACCAAGAGATGCGAAGCAATGATGGTCAGCGGAGAGAAAGCTTGGAAGAAGGAAGAAAGAACGGAGAGTTCGGGAAGACGGCTTCAGATGAGTGAGCGAAAGAGTGGTGAGTGAATTGAGTGGAAGCCGGCCGGGCGGGTTTGAGAGGGCCAGAGAGAGCCAGAAGGGGGGGGGTTAAAGAGAAAAAGAGGAACCAAGTGGCTGAGAGAACCAATAATAACGGAAAGTGGAACATACCTAAGATTACGCCAAGAGTAAGATGGACGGAAGTAAGACAGAGAGAGAGAGAGAGAGAGAGGAAGAGTGAAAGACTCGAGGTAGGTCAGATCAAATAACTTAAGCAGAAGAGAAGAAAAGGGGGGCGAGAAGATCAGAACCAAAAAGGGATTGATTGAGTGTGCAGGATAAAAGGGACGGAGAGAAGGGAAAGAGGAGGAAGATGAGGAGGAAGAAGAAGAAGAAGAAGAAGAAGAAGAAGAAGAAGACTGGCGATGATTGATGGCTGAGCTCACTCACTCATGCAACGAGGCTGAGGCCGCAGTCAATACCACCGACGTATGGAGTTGTATGGTATGGTATCATTCCCCCTTCCCTCACCTGCTGCCTGCAGTGGTCTTGCCGTATTCGTATGGTTTCAACCCTCTCTCAATGCATCTGCGGCGGCAAGCACCAGGCGACCACGAGCCAATTTGAATCGTGAGCCCGCCCCCACACGTAGTTATTATTGATTAACTTATTGAACGTCTCCATTGAAGATGGCTGTTACATAGGTAGTAGTATCTTCAGGATTCCGCCATCAATTCGCAACTCACTCGGTAGGAATGACGCAGTGGTTTCACCCTCGGCGCTTATTTATCTTGCTTGCGATTCCCAGTCAAATGGTAGTCATCTACTACCTACACATACTTCCAGTCCTCAATAAATTACTGAATGGTATCAGGTACAGACAGAATCATACCATTAGAAACTCGACCCGACTTTTGGTGGACCGCAACTCAGCCACACCGCAATCCAACCTCCGCCCAGCACGCAGCCCTACGGGAACCAAAGAAAGCAACCAAAAGAAAAAAAACCCTTTTCCTTTACAGACCGCAGCCCGCAGACCGCTTAGGCACCAGCCACGAGCGTTCGTCGTCACTGGGTCCCAGAGACCCTCTTTTTTCTTCCCGATTCCAATGACAGTGCCCAGACACGGGCTCTCGTTGCCCCCAAGATCATGGATGGTTCCAGACGCTGTGTGATATTGATACTGCTGAGTTAAGGTAACTTGGCAGCCTGTTGGTCCAATGGACCATTCGTGAATTGTCTGTACCCTACGGTTTATCCCGCCTGCTTACCCGATTCGTGCAGCTGAATGTTCTCGATAGGGATTTATGCACATAACTACCTGGCAGTGCGAGGGCCGCACGTGAGCGTACTCTGTGTGCGCATTGGAACATTGCTTTGGTTCACGTGACTGACGTCTCCAAACCATTGTAATCGTATAGACTAACGCTCCTCTAGATTCATGATAACGACCTTGACTGAGATTAGAAGAGCGTCACTAGAGCAGCTAACCCATCTATTCCCTGTTTCTCTTAAAAACCCGTATCTAAATATCTGGCCAGATCTACCTCAGCCTTGGCTTTTGTCATTACTCTGTCCCCTAGGCTGCCTATAAATTAGATAAGTTACCCGACTCGTCTTCCCACCCTATACACCATAGAAGAATACACTATAGAACAAAGACACCATGCCCATCCACCAGGCCGACTCAAGCGGCACCTCCACCAAAGACCAGGACCCTTACCACCCAATCCTCCAAGCCTACCTCGCCGACAACAACCTTTCCTCCCCGGAAGCCGCCACCACCATCGCCGCCACCACCCTATCCCCTCCAGCCTCCGGCGAATCCCTCGAAGACAACCTCGCCCACCTATGGCGCCAAATCCTGGACCTCGCCGCCCAAACCCCCGCGCACCAGGCCAAACTCGTGGACCTACTCACAGCTCTATCCCATCTCCCGGACGCTCCCGCACCCAGAGCAGCCGATCAAGCCGAAGACGCCCAAGGCCCGCTAACCGTGCACGACATGCGCGTCTGGCAAGACCTACCGATGCTGGGCTGGGAGATCCGCCACCGGTGGAACGACTCCGTCCCAGAGAACAAGGGGACGGAGGGGGAGCGAGCCGCGGCGATCGCCAGGATCGTGAACGTGAATCGCTTCGTCGCGCGGCTGGTCGCCACGCGCGAGCCGGGCTTCCGGGCGCACGCGTGGTTCGCGCTCGTGACGCTGCGGCGGGCGCTGGAGACGCCGTGGGGGCAGATGGCGCCGGAGGATCCCCTCGCGGCGTGGGTGCCGGCGGCGGCGGCGTGGGTGGAGGTGCTCGGGGCGGAGATCTACGGGTGGGAGGAGGAGTATGCGGCTGGGCCGGGGGTGGGTGCGAGAGGTCGCGGCGGGCCCCTGTGGAAGGGGAAGCATGGTTTCTGTCGGGAGCGGTGGGGGCTGTGGAGGGAAAGGTTTGGCGAGGTGGCCGGGATGGAAGGGGAAGATGAGGGTGTCCGGAGCGTGGCGCGGGAGGCGGAGCGGAGGATGAAGGGGATTGAGGCCGGGGGGGTGTAGATGGATAAGGTAGTATCATGATTTATGAACCTCATTCTCTATGTTCAGATATAATCCTCGAACTATATCTATTATCGCCTGTCTCTCGTTGGGCCCTCGATGGCAAGTTCCTAGCGACTTGTAGTCTACATGATCAGCGAGGGTGTGGGGAGATAGAGCGACGCATCAGTCTACCCTTGCATCCACTATACCGTACAATCAGAGCTATAAGAGTCGTTTGCATCCCCGACTTGCCACTGATAAAACCCCCATTCCCTGGTGAGCCGGGATGCATCGTAACACAGACCTATTATACCATCAAACCAAGTCGATGTCCGGCTGTAGACTTAGGTCAAAGACTGATATAACGAAAGACTTGGTTCGATTAGGCCTTATACCAAGCGACACCTGCATTCACCTCACAACGTTGAGCGGTGGTACGTCCGTTGCGCAGGTAGATCGACGCGCGTACGATATGCCTGCAACTCTTGTTGCTTCCGATCAAGGATACTATCATCATAGTACTGATAGACTGATGGGCAAGCATCGCTGTTTAACCGGTGTCTCGATGACATTAGACATTTGGACTTCAGCAAAGAGCTTCTAGGCTTGCTGCGCAGGAATACCGGATGAAAGGGCAAGTACCCGGAAACAACGTTGAAGCGGTGGATGGTAGACTATCATCATCATTTTCGGCCGATGGATAGCCAGGCTATTGACATACTGACATGTTGAGTTAATTACCGCATGTCTAGGTGACTTCCCCTGCGTGGGGCTTGTCTGAACCGACCTCGGAGACTAGCAGCAGAGAACGCTACCTAGTTTATTAGCGCCTAGGTGTTCGCAAGGGCGATGAGGACGGGCGGGCTGGGAAGCAAAAAAGAGATACGAAGATACTGTTGGTGTACAGTACACGGCTTATTGAGAGTCATATGACTAGCATGTTTCAAACCGACCAACAGCGCTTAGTTTCTAGTTGTCTTTGAAATCGCTAACGGGGCAGTTCGGGATTGACACGCGCTTTTGCGCAATCACCCCACGCTTCCGCGCCGCCCAGTGAGCGTCATAGTCAGGCCTAAAGTGCAGGTGAACGGAAAGGTTGCTTCAGTCATCAGTGCCAACTTCCGCAGAAATCCTGTTTGGCGTCGAGGAAAACTAGCAATGTCAGGGGGCTAGTGCCAGACAGCGTCCCATGCTCATCGTTTCTCTTCTCCGGCTGTGCCGCCGACACACCCTCCCCGCCACCTGTCCAGCCACTGGGCGTCACCGCCATCACCAGCACTCGGAGTCTCGTGGACATCGGCTCAATGTGTATAATCAGTAGTAAGTCCAGATTAAAGTACCAAGCACCAGGTATAGTGGGTCGGCCAGTAACCTCCTTGCCTTACCCTACACCGCTTAGAGACTAGGAGAGTAAAGCAGGATGCCTCTGGATATTTCTTCGGGTCATTGTACTCAGTAAATCAATATATTCAGGATTCTGTGTCGGGTTGACTGTCTGCTCATCACACATTATGTCGTGGCGCGCCCCCAGGGCGGCCTAGAGGGCGACGAGATCGACCCTTGGTGTCTGAAAGAAGAAAGAAGAGGGTAGCAAAGAGAACCCAAAGAGAAAAGAAGAATAAGTGGCGGGAGAAGAGTAAGAAAAAAATGGGGCTAGGAGAAAGAATCATAGACAAGAAGATCCCGCAAGATAGGAAATCCCAAAAGCCGAAGAATTAGTATCACATCAGGCTGAGATGCCAAGAATCAAACAGAGAAGATGAGAGAAAATGCCCAAAAATGCAAGATTAATGCTGAGGTGATAAAGAGCGCCTAGCAGATCGCACGATCACACATACGAGTCAATCTCAGGGGGGAGCGTGGGAGATTCAAAATAGCAAGGCGTCGGATCCAAGGGAATCTCCATGCCCATCGCAGGGAACGGAACCATGGGGTCATACCCGTCAATGAGGGCGGTCTCTAAGACTTGAGAAGAAATCTCGTCAGCCGCTGCCAGAGGCAGACTAGAGAATTGTACATCTTCAGCGCCAACCACCAGCGGTGCGGCCGTCAGATCATCCCCTAGTGATTCCTGGTTATTGAAACTCGGAGCGTTGCCCACAACAAATTCGGTCTTCTGCACCATCCAGTGCTTCAAGACGTCCATGGGTGGGTGGTTACCACCCCCCTTGCCGCCGCGCTTCTCGCTATCTTTGCCACGGCCACCCCGACCGCGTTGGCAGGGGTTGAAGTGGGTTCGACGGAGATGAGCCGCGGCGTTATAATTAGCACCATATCGTTTGCCATTGCGGCAGGCCTTGCAATTGGCCAGGAAGGTTTTGTCAGGAGAAATGTCAACACAAACCCAAACCTTGCGAACCACGGCGTGCACCCGCTCGATATGCCGACGCAGCTCGTGCTCCCCGTGGAAGCCGTCCGGCTGATCATTGCACATGTTGCAATACGTTTTCGGGCGCGTGGGCCGCTGGATCGAAGCTTTGGGGATGGCGGCCACCTCTTTAGCCGTCCCATCGGAAGATGAAATCCTGATCATCTTATGCTGCTCACCCACCTTGGGTGGTGAGCTACTCTGAGGCTCCGCTTTGGGAGCAATAGGGCGAGCGCCCTGCACAATCTGTTCTTGGGTTCTGCGCGCTGCTCTGGAGGGCTGGGAAAGGGATGAGGGACTGTCATTCTCAGTAGATAATGAGGGCTTCATCTCCGTCGCTGGAGATGCGGAGAAAGTAGGAATGGGGGAGTAGAAGGGGGTGGAAGAGGGTGCAGAGCAAGAGAAGGAGACTGGGGCAGCGGAGTCAGGGTAGGAGAACGCGAGATCATGAGTGGGGTTTTGGTGCAGGGGGTTGAAACTGGTGGGAAAGGGAACATTCATCGGCGAACTGGAGGGCATGAACTCGGTTGAAGGCACAGAGAAAGAGAAAGTAGAATCAAGATTTGGTCCGGAGGAATCAAACCTCATCATGCCAAACCCCCCGCAAAGCGAGTCTGTGGTAGTACTCCTGCTCATCTCCACCGCGGCCGGCTGGTCAACCATCGTGGGGTTTGCCAAGGTGGCGAAGTCGGCCATCAGCTCAGGCTGGGCCTGAACTAACTGCGACCTTTGTTGGTCAGATCCAGAGAGCGCGGGATCCGCCGAAAGCGCCATGGAGAGAGCCGAAACGTTTCCTTGGCCTTGGAAGTCACCCAAGTATTGCTTGGCGTACTCCGAGGGGGTATATTCGTTCACATGGTCAAGCCGACGCTGCACGCGCTGAGGTCCATAAGAGTGTCGATGTCCCTTCACATTGGTGGCGGCCAGCGACGGGCGGTGTGAAACCGGCGTTTGCTGACTCTGTGAGCGGACCATGGCCGTTTGTCGCGAGGACCCAGGACCCGAGAAAGTAGCCGCGGTATCCTTCCGTGAATTGGTTCTTGACAAGCGCCGAGCTGTCTCAGGGGCCGCCGGGGAGGAAGCATGAGACAACTCGCGTGTCAAGTCGACGGTCACTGGAGGTTCCGGAGTCTGCCATTTGTCAATCCAGGGACTGTTGTCGGGAGATGGAAGAGAGAGACAGTGAGGTCATGGAGTAACGCGAGGAGAACAGAATGGGAAAGGACGAAGACATGAATAGAAGGCGGGAGTAGAAGACCAAGATGATTCACGTACGGTGACTCGTCGTTTCGGTGGGGGGAGACCAGAGCCAGGGAGAGTCCGGGGGGTATCCTGTCGCGTCCTTTTCCCAGACTTCTCCAAAGCAGCGCTGTCGTCTTCGGAAACACCAGAGCCGGGAACCGGGCGATAGCTGGAGGAGGCATCGAAGGGGGAAGCTGACGAAGAGGCCGTGGTGGTCATGAACTGACTTAACCGCTGACTCCAAAGTTGATTCCGCTCGGGTTCCGGAAGGTGGGAGTGTCGAACCAAGAAAGCGTCCCGATACCCAGAGATAGCCCGTGTGAACAGTTCGTCGTCGGCCATGGTGCCAGCCATAGTGGGTGGGGAGATCCTCTCTTTGCGTGTCGCCTCTTATCACGTGGGGCAAAGGAGGGCTGCTATCAGTATCAAGTGACTGGAAGGGATAGGAGGGGTTCTCTGCAGAAACAAGATGTTAACAAATTGATCCCACCGAAATTGAACTGAACAGGATAGGTGATAAACCAGGCGAGACTGACTGAATTTTTGAGACAGGTAAGGAAAGCCTGTCGCTGATGAGGGGGTGGGTAGGAGTAGCGCTGGCGGGGACGAATTCGCGGATGCGGCCCCAGAGAGTAGATGGTATAAAGAAAATGAAGAGAGGATATGAGGAGAAAGCACTCGCGGAAAGTAGGAGTAGATTGCAGGAGAGTAGCAATGTGAGTGGAAAAAGGTTAGGAATATGAGGAGTGGGAAGAAGAAAGATGGAGTATATGAAGAGTAGGTAGTAGGAGGAAGTGGGAGAAAGTATATGGGGATCCCTGATTTATGCGACGAGGAGAATAACGATAACGATAAAGAACGAGGAGATCAGGGAGGGAGGGGAGGTTATCAATTTAATAGAGCATCTACCATCCCCACAGCTTGGGCTTGGTTGACTGGGTCGGGAGAGAGGGTCTAGGGTGAAACTAAGGTTGAGAATTGGGATTGGGAGAAGAGGATTGCGAAGAAAGAAAACGAGAGAGAGAGAAATGAAAAAAGAGAGAAGTATCGGGAGAGAGAGAGAGAGAGCTAGAGAGGGAGCGCGCGCGCGCAAAAGATCCGTCAGAAGGGGAAGCAGTAAGTTGCAGGTTAGTTTGGGAGTGCCTCCTCCATCAAGAGGGTTGAAACTGGGCGGGGATCAAAGATGGAGGGCCGGATTGGAGGGCGCAATGGGGGTTCCAGACCCTCTTGGGGGGGAAGAGGGTGGGCAGAAATCCCTTATCCTTCTGTTTTTGTTTTTCTTCTTTTTATTTTTTTTTGGGAGCAATGATTTATCCAAATTTTCTTAAATTTCTTTTCTATACTACGACTATTCCGGAAAGTCGACTAACTTATCTCATTTACATAGTACATACTTGGTTCACTTCAGGAGCTTATTCTTTTGTGGTTGTCTTCCCCATACTTTCTTTTACCCGCCCATAACAAGACAAGCAAAGATTCGTAGGGAGACCATCAACAAGCAAAACAAGAAAAATATTGAGAATAGTAGAGGAGAAGAAGAAAAAGAAAAGAGAAAAAATAATTCTCGACAGTATCAAGGACGAGAGGAACAAATAGATAGACCGGGAAAAAAAAAGAAAAGTAATAATACTATGGATACTCTTCCCTTCCCCATAGCATCATGGTGATCAGAACACTAGTGCTATTTAGGCAATCCATCGTTCTAATTGAAGTGGTTGGAAAACTGCCCATGTTCTTGCCATGGATGTTCCTCCCTAGAAGAACTATCCAAAAGAGACTAGATTGGAAAAAGAGTGAGAAAAGGGGATGGTGACACGCTGACTGTTCAACAGAGCCCGAATTGGCCTGGTTACAAGACTGCCCGGGTCAGGATACATTGGTGATGAGAGGGAAGACGGATTGGATGGATGGATGAATGGACGAACACGGTGTGTGCCCGAAAGTGAGGCGGCGAACCGGATGGCAGCAGCCTCCACCCGGACCAGCAGGACGACAGATGCGCTGGAGAGACCTGGATCAGTCATCCGAATGGTTGATTAGTTAACTTAGTGCTAGTTTGGTTATGATGGATGGATGCTGTGCACGGGAGTAGATACTGACTAGGTAGGTAGGTACTAAGATACAGTGTATAGTACTCCGTACCGTGGACCTCATACACCTGTAGTAGTACTATGGTATTCCGTATTCCGTACTGTGTGTTCCGTCGAACAATAGGTATGGAGCCAAGTACCTCGGGGCGCAGTACCAAATACACCCATCACCCGGTCTCCATTGCGGGTGGGACGCCCCTACGTCGCCCGCTCTTTTCGCCCACGGAGGCG